GCCCCTGCTGCCTCCTGCCTCTCCCCTCTGAGGCAGCGGCTCTAGGGCTGCCCTTGGGTTTCAGCTTCATCCTCCTGCTGTGGGCTCCTCATCCTCAAGCCCCAGCACAGATTTTGAGTATGTGGCATATTGTGTAGCAGGGGAGCCGGTGTCTTTGCTGCAAGGAGCTGAAATAGCAGCATGTACCGTAACAAGTTTGTCTTTTCTACAGTAATTAGCCAATAAAAGCAGGTGCCAAATTGCACAGATCTGACACCAGCTGATTTGATTTACCCAAAACAAGCAGTGCAGAATCAATAGCAGCAATCTGTTTGGCATTATGTTCAGTAATGTGATCAGGAATAAGAAGCTCATGCTAATACATTAAAAATGAAAGTATTGCAAGTACGATGAGAGTCTCAGCATTGTGGGTTGCTTTGGAAATCATGGTTCGCGGGCTGTCCACAGAGCATCCCATTTCATCAGTTGGTACAAAGCACTAGAACAATGATCACCTACTTACCAAATCCCAGCGTGCAGCAGAAAGAAAGGAATCGGTTTATTACAAGGAGGATCTTAGTTAATCCATTGGATTGGCAATGAGATTTCAAATTTGTTCCCCCCTCTGGAGCTCCTATAAAATGATTCAGCTAAAAGTTAAAGGCTGAAAATTAAAAAACAAAATATATTTTCTTCCATACATTTCCTATGCTGTGGGTCAGTTGGAGTAACTTAGTGTAGGCTTGCTGAAGTCCCCAGAGCAGATTCAGTTATACAAGCTAAGGATTAGATCACTGTTTTCCAGGAATTTCATGTTACCATCCAAGAATAAAAACTTTGTATTTCTGTCCACATGTCCTGTAGAACACATTATTTGCCATTATTTTTATAAAGTGGATGATTTTTCTTGTATCCAAATTACTTGAAGTTTTTTACTCAAAATTATATGATCCTGTGATAAACTCTGCATCACTGCCATTATATAAGTGCCGTAAGAAATGGAGTTCTGGGATTTTAAAATGTACTTAGCAGTTTGGGTTGAACTGAGTAGTGAAAGGCATCTTCAGAGTCATGTCTAATCATTCTCTTTGGCTGATAAAACCATGTATCTGTTCTTTGCATCACACTGGTGGATACGAGCCAGAGAAGTCAAAATACATTAAAAAAAAAAATCTGGAAAAAATATCTGTAAGTGAAGTTGCACAAACTGTAGGATGTCAGAAATATTTTCTAGGCAGCCATTTGCATCTTATTTGCAAATGGCTAATTTAGGAAGACCCCCTTTCAATCTTAAACAAAGAGCACATAAAGTATGCAGTAGGTATAGAAGCTGGGAATAGTAATACTGTGCCTTTTGTTATTGTCTCTCTACAGTAAGACTCGATTCCGCTGGATCCAGGAGAGCAGCTCCCACAAGAGCGTGCCTCCTTTCGGCTTAGATGGCGTTTACATTTCTGAGCCTTGCCCCAGCTACTGCAATGGTCATGGGGACTGTGTCTCGGGAGTCTGCTTCTGTGACCTGGGCTACACAGGTAAGACAACCTTTTTTAGGTGGGATTACAGTAAGCATTGGCTGAGTGAAAGCTGTAAATCTAGCATCTCGTTTTCCTCTCTGATATTCTGGAAAAATATATTATGACATAAATTTCATGGGCTGCCAGCAAGAATCTTTTCATTTTGTTAAATAAAATTCAGCACAGGCAAAACAGAGAAGCTGAAGGCAGCTGACACCGGTGATGTTTCTGGCAACTGCAATCTTTGAATGTCACCATCTGTATGAATGGGGAAGGGACTAGTGATAGAAGAGAAAACAAAATAAAATATTATAAACTAAAAAGTCTGCTTAAAAGCCTTTGGACCATCTTCAAAAGAATTGCCGCTGGTTTTGAGTCCCCTGGCCATCCGATGGCACAGGACCAGGAGGGAACATATGTTCTGACAGGCCCTTCTGTGGAAAATTCTGCTCACTTGTGGTTTCAGGGGTTTTTATGCTGGAACACAAAAAAAACCCAAACCCAACGAAAAGAAACAATGATTGACAGAACCAGTTGCACGCTGCACTCTTTTCAACCCTCTATACCAACAAAGCAATAAGCTAACATCTTTTGTTCAATTTGTTTAAAATGAAATAAAAGGATAATATTTTTCTGCTCACATAAAATGCCTTATCAACATAAAGCACGGCTGGTTTTCACCTAGTGAAATAAGCCATCTTAGAGTTTAGAGGAAGAAGGCTTATTCTGCCTACAAAAATTTATAAAGAGGGTTTAAAAAGGTACAATCCTGTCATCAGTGCATTTTTCTTGGAAAAGCCTGGTGCTTTCTCATATGTAGATGCAACAGAACTGCCTGCCAATGTACTGTATCTGACCTTTACTCTGTTCAGCACAGTTTCACCAAAGTATCTTCCATATATTTTTTTTTTCTTGAAGCATCACATGGAACCTGTGTGTCTAATGTGCCTAATCACAGTGAGATGTTCGACAGGTTTGAGAGAAAGCTAAGCCCTCTCTGGTACAAGATAACAGGAGGTCAGGTTGGGACAGGCTGTGGTGTGCTCAGTGACGGAAGATCTCTGTACTTCAATGGACCTGGCAAAAGGGAGGCAAGGACTGTTCCCCTGGACACCACAAATATCAGGTCAATCAGTGCTGCTTCTCACAATCGTCATGTATCCATGTTGTCTCCTTTCTGCTATTACAAGTGTAGATGTGAGAAGGTGTGAAATGTTTTTCTGGTAATCACAACGTGTATAAGAAATCTTAAAGCCAGAGAAATTACTTTTTTGTTTATTCTGGTGTACTACCTCCTTTTCTTGAGAGGGAAAACTTACATTAGAAATGGAATGGAATAGCAGCACAGAAAATATGAACTGTTTACCCTTCTGAGAAGATGGTTTGCGTTGAATTCTAGATGGACAGGCAGAAGATGTTGGACCGGGTCCAGAGGAGGGGCACAAAAATGACTCGAGGGCTGGAGCACCTCCCCTGCGAGGCCAGGCTGAGAGAGTTGGGGTTGTTCAGCCTGGAGAAGAGAAGGCTGCGAGGAGACCTTATTGCCGCCTTCCAGTACTTAAAGGGGGCCTATAGGAAAGATGGGGACAGACTTTTTAGCAAGGCCTGCTGTGCCAGAACAAGGAGTAATGGTTTTAAACTGAAGGAGGATAGATTTAGACTGGATATAAGGAAGAAATGTTTTACAATGAGGGTGGTCAAGCACTGGAACAGGTTGCCCAGAGAGGTAGTGGAGGCTCCATCCCTGGCAACATTCCAGGTCAGGTTGGATGGGGCTCTGAGCAACCTGATCTGGTTAAAGCTGTCCCTGCTCACTGCAGGGGGGTTGGGCTGGATCATCTCTAAAGGTCCGTTCCAACCCAAAGCATTCCATGATTCTATGATTCTATGATTCTATGTGGTCTTGAGACTGCACAAAAGCTAAGATTCTGCCCATAGCTGGACAGAAAAACTTCCTTTCCCCTGACTGCACTCAATTGCAGGCACACCGATAGCATAGCAATGAGCTGTTGTTTACTTGCCAGATGTTGTGAATTAGTCCACTTGTCAGAACTGCAAAAAAAAGGGAATGTGAATTGTTGCTGTGTAGTCAAGAGGCTAACAAGCCTTCACCTCTCTTCCCGCTACCACTGAATGCTGCTCCGCTGGTAGCAATTATCCTTTTCCCTCTGAAATTGTCCAATTGATTAATGTAATTAGGATAAACAAAAGGCTGTTAATTCTAACCATTATTTAGCCTGGAGTTGCTGCTGCTTTGTCCAGTCTCATGAGGGATCATGCACCTGAAACCTTGCCCACCCTACAATTGTATCAGTTAGCTTAATAAGAGATATTTCTCCTGAAAAATACTGCTCCAAGAGTAAGCAACGCCATGATTTGCTGCATTATTTAGTTTGTGGGATCATTCAGCAAAGATTGGCCACAAGTTACTGCTACTGCTCTCGAGCTCAGACAAGTGGCTCTCCTTAGGGCAGTATGGGTGCCATGGGTTTTGGGACATCCTTAGCTGCTCCCCGGCACCGACCAGCACAGCACCACCTGCCTCTCCTCTGTCCCCTGCGTGTCTGACAAATTCTCCTCTGACAAATACATGAATAATTTATCTAATTATGTAAATTACTTAATAATTAAATTAACTAATTGTTTGACAAATACACTTTGGACAAGTACATGTTTGCACTGGAACTCTGGAAAGATCTGAACACTTCTTTTCTGTTCCACAGTCTTTTTAAATCTCATGTTATTAATCTGTGAAGCATAATATTGGAAGTAACTACATCATCAGGAAGTCTATCTTCAAATGATATTTTTGGGTTCTTCCTTCTTTCCTGGAGAAATCTTTTTATAAAAGAAAAGGATTTTCTTTAGCTTTAAGATTACTTTGAAACCACTTTTAATGCCAGATATACATATTTATAGCTTTCCATTTTCATAGAGTTTGAACCATTTAAAAAGCCTAAAGAAGTTTTAAAATACTGAGCAATGCTCTTTCTTGACTTTTTAAATCTATCACTACTTCTGTTTTGCATGAGAACATGGTCATCTGATGATTCAAAACTGCCCCAAGAACGTAAATGGCCGGAGGGACACCTAATAAGAGCAACCAAGATTCCTCCTCTGAGGACGTGCTCACCATGTGAGCTGCTCTCCTGCTGCAACTGATCATTTTGTCAAAATAAACCAGCACTGATTTTTTTTTATAAGCATCACAGTGAGCAGTTTAACTTCCTTGAACAAGACAAGTTTGACACCACACCCCTGGGCTGTTTGCTAGACAGAACAAAAGCACCAGTCATCTCAAACACAAATGGGACTAACATTGATTTTTCAGTATCTTCAGCCACACATCTGCTCAAGGGTAGGATTCTTCTCATGCAGCTTGACCAGAACATGGACTCATGAGACTACAGCAATTACCCCAGGCTGCTTTTATGCTCAAAGGAAAGAAATAGTTACTTCAAAAGGACAATGCAACTCATCCTAAAATAGTGTCAGCTAAGGCCAGTGCTTTCTCTGCTGGAAACATGTATTTTTGTCACTAATTATAAGGGAATCTGGGCTGATCATGTAAGTCTTGGACATCCAGCCTTCAGAAACCATGCTTAGAACAGGTGCATCCCACTTTAATGTTTGACACCATCTGTAACATTAACTGGGTCTTTTTTCCTAGAAGCAAAAGCAGATGAAGTTTGTGAGAGTGAAAGGGTTAACTGAAAGACCCATACCCTAAAAAGAAAATAATTCCTCAGCCTAGAAATTTTTTCTATTATTGGAGCTAAAATTAATGTCACTTGAAAAAGGAGATTAGAGGGAAGCACTTTTTCCCATTTTGGTATTACTTTTTGCATTCAGTAATGTTTTGTATAGAATTTGGTTATCTTATTAGGGGTCATCTTAGCCCCTGCACAGTTATCTTTTATTTGTGTGTGGTTTTTTTGGTTGGGGGGGGTTGGTGACTGAGTAAACTGCAGGAAAATATGCCTTGAAAGACATACCGTTAGATATGTGGATTGAGGGTTGTGAATAGGAAGGCTGAAACTCCTGCAGTAGATTTGTAAGCTTCTTATTTTTCAGGTTAATAGTGTTTCCCCAGACTTTTAAGATCTTGTTTCATTAAATCAGGCATGGAAGAGAAAAAAAAAAAGAAAAATATTGCAAGACGTTAAAGTTTTATTTTCATTCTGAATTCCTACAGATCTACCTATGCATATTCCCTATCATTTTGCTTCAGTTACAGCTTTTTGTATGTAAAGTGTAATTTTTATGCAAGGAATGTAAAGAATTTTTGTTCTTTTTTGTAAGAAGTAAAAAGACCTTTCTCCTCCTCACCATGCTCTTCCCAGAGGAGGGGGTCCATCGGGGCTCAGTGCTCCCAGTTCGTTCTCCTCCAAAGGGGTTGAGATTTGCCAGCCTGAGGTGCGTGGTGCTGCTCAGGGAAGCAGCCCAACAGGGCACCACTAAATTCAGGTTTCATGCTCACAGCATTTAAAACTAAAGGTTGCTCCCTGAAGCCAACCACTGTAAACAAGCACTCGATGTTTAGCATATACATTAAGTGCTATCATAATCTTAGCTTTATTTGTCCTATTGTCTCTTTATTCTTTTATATGATTGACTACACTTTTTTCACAGATGCTAGAAGAATGCCCCATAGCACTAAGAGAGCTGTAAGTGTCAAAATTCATTTCACCCAGACCATTTTTTTGCCCTACACTTCAGAACCCCCCTGGAGTCTCTCCATCCCTTCCCTTTTGTATGGCCCAGTGCACCAAAGGCACAATTTCACCAGCAATATTTCTGTCCTCCTGACTGACAATAGGATACCTGGATGCATTTTGGTTACTGATGAGTTACTGCCTCCCATTTTGATGGCCTGTCCCTTATGACACTCCTCACTATCTGTTCACTGAGAGCATTTGCACGTAGTGCCTACCTGGCAGCTAGATAAAAATCATAGAAAATATACATATTCTTTCCAAGTGGTGGCATCTGGCTTGTTAGCTGACTTGGCTCCCGTCTGTGTTACAGACTCCACTGCTAATGACTGTGCAACCATCCCAGAGAGCTGTTCTGGGTCAAACATTTATGGATCAGATGGGCTGATTCACCCTTCTGCAGAAAGGGGATTGTTGTCTTTTGTTTCTGCTTTTTACTGATCTTTACATTTGGCAACCATAAAAGAGAATTTCATCATGGAACTGTAAATCTTTTCACCTCTGAGACCATTGTCTAGTGTTTTATTGCCTGAATACTGTCTCAGGCAACAAAGCTGCAGCAAACAATAGGATCTACCTGGCTAAACAGTGTAATACTGTCAGCCTGTCTGTTCTTGAGCTATCTATGGGGTTGTATTATGAATAAGAATGATGAGTATATTCTGGCTTGTCCTAGTCCCTATGGATATACAAAACATCTCAGACAGGAGATACCAATTTTTATAACAGAACTGGAGTGCGGTTGGTTTTAGAATCAGAAGAGGATGGTGACATTGTGTATGTAGTGGTGGGTGAGGGAAACTGGAGTCCTATCTGTGTCGTACTGGCTCGGGCTGTACTCTTGTGGCTTGTCTGTGATTTTACTGATGTCACCATAAATTAGGACCAAATCCCCTAAAGCAAAAAGAGTTATCCTTGTGGGGAGTTATTTGAGCGACAAATCAAGACTTGTTTCCTCAGACAGAGACACAAATTCACCTCAAAAATAAGTATTTAAAATAAAGAAGTTATGTACAAGCAGCAGAATTAATGAAGCCTGGTTTCCTTTAGATTTGTATTCTTTTTTCCTCCTTGGCAATAACCCCATCTCCCCCTATGCACTCCATGAGGACACCACCAGCACAAGGGACAAGCAGTTGCTTCCCAGAAAGACCACATCAGCAAGTACTCCAATAGTTATAACACAACAGGCAGGCACCATCCTAAGTCAAAAACTGGCTAGGAAACAAGGAGGAGAATGGCATCACAAATTTTCAGCATGCAAAATCTCAGGGTGGGGATGAGTCCAGGTTCCCTGCTCTGTTTGGGCGCTGTTTTGGGTGTGCAGTGCAGACAACCTGTGAAGAAGGTGTAGATGAGTGGGCAAAGGTATTCTCAGTCATCTCACTGGCCTTTACATTAGTTATGACCAGATAAGACTGAGACAAATGTCAGAGATGTGCAATGACATTTGGTGAGTGAGTAGCAGGACATTAATTAAAAAAAGTTGCTCTTATATAGCACAATAGTACACATCTAAGAGGAAATGTAAACTACTCTGATACCACAAAGTCACAATTAAAAATATCAGTTCAGCAAGGGTACCAGGGCATCACTGTAGATTGGGAAAAAAAATGACAATATTTTGGAGCACAAGGATGGGATAATTATTAATTCAAATATAGCTAGATAGGGATGTTCCAGGCTTAGCCAAAGTCCTGTCAATAAAGCCAGTGACACTGTCTCAAAGGGATGTTGCGGCTTTAGAAGGGTTGCAGAAAATGGTTATGGGAAAAATCAAGGACATGGAAAAACTTTCATGTGGAGAGACAGATGAAAACGTTGCCATGGTTCACCATAAAAGAAGTAGGTAGGGAAGTGATAAAAGCACTGAATACAGGGCAGGTTGCAAGAAAGGCAGATCAGGAATATTTTTTCCCTGTCTCATGATGTGAGAACAAGAGGATGTTCAATGAAATCAAAATGTAGAGGTTCAAAATCAAAGGGTCTACTTCACAAAATGTCCCATGAACTCTTTTCACCAAAAATTGTTTACATCAAGAATTTAAGGACCAAAAATGGATTGATGGTGTAGTGAGGATTTAATAATTTTATTAAAACTCTAATATTGTATTTTAAAGCTTAAACCAATTTCCAGTTACAAGAGGCCAAGGTCAGATCTGATGTAAAGAGCACATTTGCCTGCTTTGGCATTTTTGCATCTTTGTGTGAAAGAAGGAACTGCTAAAATCTGCTACTTGGTCCAACAATACATTTATTAGGCACAGGATCAATAAACCACATCACCTTCTTCTGTCTTGGGTCCTCCACTGTTTAGTATGGCAATGCTTGATTTCTCTGGGAACATTACCTGATCAATAGGCCTGGAATAATGACCTAACTGAAAATGCCACATTAGTCAAGAAAGAAGAGTTATCCTGACTGATTACACTTCTCTTCTACCCTGATTTTTTTAACAGGCTAGTTCAATTTTATGTACAAATTGGAAGCAAGGCTATGGGTAACGCCTGCAACAGACCAAGAGCCAGGAATGAAGGTAAAGCCTCTTTTGCTTATAATAAGCTTTTTGTATTTTGGGTCTTCTACAGTGGTTTTGCCTTTCACTGCCTTTACAAAATCAAAAAGATTGTTTTATTTTTAACATAAATCAATTACCACTTCAGTTTTCATAAATGGTACAGAAAACTAGTTACTTTTGTTCCACATTTGTATTTATACTTATTTCCACCAAACCTAATAGTGAACTATCAATAGGAGTAAATTTGATGGAGCTATGATGGTTTAAGACAACATCTACAAGAAGAGGCGTAATAGCTTTTATTAGAGTACTTGATAGTGCTGGAAATCAGGTAAATTGACAAGTACAGAGGACTTTCTTCAGGTCTGAAATAAAAGGAATAAAACTCAAGTTCAGGATAAAATGGGCAACCTCCGTTACTGACCTGGAGTTGTGTGCCTGAAAACCTGTTCAGCTTCCCAACTGCACCAGTGGGTCTAACTAAAGATTGCCTTCCAACCCAAGCTCATGCATGATTTACCTGAAATGCAAAATTATAAAGCTGCAGCTGAAAATGTATTTAGTCTAAGGAAATTAATCTCTCCAGCCATCTCCTCTCTTATTTTACCCACATGCTTAGAGGTATTGGGGCAGGGGGCTGATGTCTGTGTCCGGGGAGGATCAGCAGAGTTTTGGGAGCAGAATCCCCATGTAAAGTGGCCTAGTTGCATGAAGACAGATTACTGACATCTGGTAGATGAGAAAACCTCATTTTCCTCTCAGTATAAATCACTTAACATCAGTGGACTGTTTCCTGACATATGGCATTTACATTGATACTGACTCAGAACTGCCATCTTTCAGCACAGGTTACACTGAGGGTTTGATTCTCTTTTCATCTGCACCAGTATAAGACACAAGAAAATCCATTATCTTTGAATGTACTCCAGTATAAAAGAGTTTTAAGAGAAGAAATACACATAACAAGTGCTTCTTTCTTCTATTATCCTGTGACGAGCTCATAAGTGCCTTCACAATTCTGCTATGTCCTAGTACGTGCCATACTGTGTGTAAGAGATGAAGACTATTTCAAATTATGCCAATAGTATGATAACTAACTTTAAGGATGCTGTGAGCTTGCATAGGTAGCATGAGCATTGTGAACTACCCATGGAGCCCAGCTATCAGAATTACAACTTAGTGTCCCACACAAACTGCAAGGATATGCAATATGAAATAAATACTGACTGTATTAAGAAAGGGCCCTGGTTTTGGCTGGGATAGAGTTAATTTTCTTCCTAGTAGCTGGCATAGTGCTGTGTTTTGGATTTAGGATGAGAATAATGTCAATAACACACTGATGTTTTAGTTGTTGCTAAGTACTGCTTACACTAGTCCAGGACTTTTCAGCTTCCCATGCTCTGCCAGGTGCACAAGAAGCTGGGAGGGGGCACAGCCAGGACAGCTGACCCAAACTGGCCAAAGGGCTATTCCATACCATATGGTGTCACGCTCGGTATAGAAACTGGGGGGAGTTGGCCGGGGGGAAGTGATCGCTGCTTGGGGACTGGCTGGGTGTCAGTCAGCGGGTGGTGAGCGGTTGCATCACTTGTTTTTTTTTCCCTTGGGTTTTGTTTCTCTCTCTCTCGTTCTCCTTTTCATTACAATTTTCATTACTATTATTATTTTATTTCAATTATTAAACTGTTCTTATCTCAACCCACAAGTTTTCTTACTGTTGCACTTCCAATTCTCTTCGCCGTCCCACAGGGGTGGAGGGTGAGTGAGCCGCTGTGTGGTGCTTGGTTGCCGACAGGGGCTAAACCATAACAGAAAGTCACACTATTGCTATGGTTTCTGTGGTACAATCATTAGTTTCACTGAGGTTGTAAAAGATTTGATCCTTTGAGTTTGGTGAAGACAAGCAAAATAATGTGTGGCTGCTGGTGAGCCCACATCACCTTTGCATTAGGACTTTGTCCACAAAATACTCCTGGACCAGGAGCTGCCAAAAAGGTAGGGGAGATGCCAAAAGTGGCGTGCACTGGACGTGCTCCTGAGTACAGGCTGAAGAGTTGCCCCCTTTGCTCTGTACAGTCAGACTAACTGCCTTTCTTAATTTTACATACAGGGCTTGTTGTTCAATACACAAATGATAACGGGATCACCTGGCATTTGCTGCGAGAGCTGGACTTCATGTCGTACCTGGAACCCCAGGTTGTTTCGATAGACTTACCTCGGGAAGCCAAAACCCCCGCCACCGCTTTCCGCTGGTGGCAGCCACAACATGGTAAGCAGCACCATCCTAAAAATTCATTAAGCAGCTTTACACAACCCACATGCCAATGCTTCTCAGTATGGACATATTCCGCAGAAACTTCAGCTTACCAAAAATACAGTATGGTGAACAGTTTGGGTGCTGTAAGAGCATATTTAGGCTTTTCTCAGTCACACTGCAGACATGATTTTCTTTTATAGCACCAAGTGGAATAGTGGGCTTAAGAGTAAAATTGTTTAAGATCTAAGTTAGAACCAAAGATGCTGAGACATAACTGAGGGGAAGGGAAAAGAATATTACAAGAAAAGCCTAAATAAGATTAGAGGATTTACCTGAGTATCGAGTGACCTGGGATGCAAAATAGCTTACACATTTTATCTCACTTTTTCTCTGTTTTGGAAGCGGAGGCATAACTTGGCCTTGAATCTGCCTACCTGGTGGCTCCCATCTCACTATCTTAAAATCTCCACACTCCAAAACAGGACCCCCCACCCTCTATCATTTCAGTGTCCAAGTGCCCTGCCTTCTGCAGCACCTCCAAAGCCCACTCAGCCACTTCCCACATCATCAGCTGAAAGTAAAGCCCTGGTGCTGACTGATACCTACAGCCACTGTGAGAGCCCCCACCTTGCACGGGGGCATGTTCCCACTATTAAAAATGTCCTGATTAAGTGTCTCACCTTTGAGCAAGGCAGCAGCTCCTGGATCCCTGCAGGAAATATAAGGTGATATTCAGAAATATAGCAAAGTACATTTTAACAGCAATTCCCTGGGGAGAAAAGCACACAGTGTACGTTCAAGTAATTATGGAATGCAGCTTCTCAGATATCATTTATCATTTTGATGGCCATTTTTTGTTCGTACATTTTCTTACAATGTATGTGCTGGAGTTAATTGTCCTCATTAAACAAAAGAGTAGACAAGGCAAGAGGGGTGTGATATAGTTAAGAAGCCAGTTCATCTGGGAAAAGTGCTGAGCAGCAACTGGTGCACCACAGACCATCGTTCTGCCATGATCGTTTGCACTGGTGAGCGGTGTGATGTCAAACCTGTTGCTCCTTACCTGTGTCCTGCCCATGGCTGCTTGCTCTGGGGGCACATGGATGACATCTGTCCCTGCTGAGAGCAGTCACTCCAAGCCCACCTGATGGCAGTCCTGTGGCTCCCAGTAAGAGGAAGCATTTATGAGTGGATGTTGAAATAGCGCCTTCCATACCAGCGTCCATAGGTGACAACCACTCGTCATTACAGATATTAACACCTTCATAGATTGTCCTCTGTCTGTCATAACTCAGTGCAGAGCGGCCCTATCAGCCGCGATCCACGTTCCTCATAGTAGCAAGACAGAAGTCCTGGCACATCGCTGCAAGTTCACAATTTACTGTCAAGACTTTCCTTCTTCTGTGAGGGCAGCGATTGTACAGTAAGATGACATTTTCAGCATGCCAGTAGAAAGGTGAATTGAAACGAAAGGCTGGAGAAGTGGGCTGGAGGTGATGGTGAACTGAGATGCCTGTAGGCTGGAGAGGAAGAGAAGAGAGGTTTCCAGGAAGGAGAAGGTAAAGAGCACTTCTATGAATATCATCTATATCAGGAGTCTTCAGCATTTTCCTTCCTTTGTGTACTATCCTCTTCCATACAAAAGGTACTTTGGGAACTAGACGGAAAGCTTTCCAATTTAGTGTGGGGAATGGCAGGAAGATTGTGACCCATAAAATGAAAAACCCTAATCTAGGGACTCAGGGAGTGTCTCATTCAAACACAGGGAGAGCGTATGATGACGACAGCACTGAAGCTTGAGAAATTAAGAGGGAAATACTTGTGTTTGTCTGAAATAGAAACATACTCTAGAGTCCAGGTTCATCCTTGAGCAATGTTTTAGTCTTGTTTAACAATGCTCAGTCTACATGACCACGCACTGCTCACTGGGTGAACACAGGATGTGGGCATAAAAAATAACTAACACTAACCTGCACGTTCTACTTTTTATAGGAAAGCATTCAGCTCAGTGGGCCTTGGACGATGTCCTTATAGGGATGAATGACAGCTCTCAGACTGGCTTCCAGGATAAATTTGATGGAACTGTGGATTTACAAGCAAGCTGGTACAGAATACAAGGAGGTCAAGTAGACATCGACTGCCTGTCTATGGATACAGCTCTGATGTTCAGTGAAAACATCGGTATGTGTCACCAAACATTGCTACATTTGTATGCACCTATTTTATAAAGTATTTATGGGTCAAGTTTTTACAATATGGGATGTATACACAAATTCAGGTATACAGTAATCTACAGGGAAGAGAAGGCTGAAAAAAGGTGAAAATACAGATAATAGATTTGAATGACAGCACTGAAAGCATATGCGTAAGGTATACTTTTTTTCTGTTGGTTTTCTCCCTTTTCTTAGGAAAACCTCGTTATGCCGAGACCTGGGACTTCCATGTATCAGCCTCCACTTTCTTGCAATTTGAGCTGAGCATGGGTTGCAGCAAGCCATACAGCAATTCCCATAGCATTCACCTGCAGTATTCTTTAAACAATGGGAGAGACTGGCACCTGGTGACAGAGGAGTGCGTCCCTCCAACCATCGGCTGTCAGCACTACACTGAGAGCTCCATCTACACTTCAGAAAGATTCCAAAACTGGAAGAGAATTACAGTCTACCTCCCACCCTCAACCAAGTGAGCACTGCTCTTCTGGCTGTTTAGCATGATATAGATTTTGCTGATGTAATTAGAGCAAACATCCCCCAGCTTGGGAATTTTCTGCATGTCTTTTAAATTATTAAATGTGTGTTGTCACGCCATTGGAATTTTAAATTTCACTTCAAAATATTTCATCAGATATAATGTGAACTGCAGGAACTGAAGGAAGTAAAAACTTTGGATGAGTTAAGCCTTGCCTATAATCTATGACAGCAAGAACAGGAATGTTAAAGCAACCTTTTCTAACATTTACCCAATAAAAAGCAATAATAAATGCACTCACCCATCTTTTAATATAAAACCATTTTGTATCATTGCACATAAGTTACAACGTTATTTGTCATCCAGGATTTAGGAATGTTAATTACAACATTCACAAAGTCAAAATGCATGTTACTGGATGTGCTACCTCCACCCTTTTGACCGGGAGGAGAGTTCTGCCTGCCTCCTAGTGATGGTTGTAAATGGACATGGCAGATATGCTGGCACTCATCTCTCTCAATAAAACCATGCTCTAGTTTAGAAATAACAGATGCTGATGATATTGCTTATCATTATTCCGAAGAGTTCTGTAATTCATCAAAGCACCCTACACATTACCTCTGTGAATTTCAACACCCAGAAAATACGGTGGTAAAAATGGACACACAGGAAACGAACTGGGACTGGGGTTCCCATCTTGGTTTCTAATTCCATTGTTCACTCCAGAGGACCATGCACCTTTTTCCAAAGAATCTTCTTCACAACTACAGTGAGATCCTGATCCTGTCAGAAGGCATTGTTCCAGGATCAGCTCCACCGCACATTTCCTGCCTGAACATATCCAAGATCATCTAACCCACAGCACCTTGATAGATTTTTTTCCAAAATATTTTCCTCATCTGAGGATAACAAGGCAGTCAGCAATTACAGCAGTGTGTATGCATGTGCATGCTTGTGCATATATAGTCATACATTGTTATACATATATATACTAACATATGTAATCGTTTTTTCTTTACGCAACACTTAGTATAAATGACCTTTCATTACTTCTTCATTTACTGAAGGAATTATATTGTTTTAACTCTGTTAGCAACACGTGGAGCTGTTGAATGCTAATATAACTACTAGTTCATGCTCAACCACTTTGCTAACCAGCAAGAGTCACAGCAATGTTGACTTTCTTGGTTTTCACTTTGGCTACATTCATTTAAAGTCTGTTGGAATTTTGCCTGAAAATTAACCTGAGAAATTGAAACTTCCAGTTTCAACTGGAATAACAGTCTTTTCCAAATACAGGGAGTCGTGCTTATCAATATGGTTTTGTTCTCCTGAAGTCTACAGGATTTTCTTTATTATTTAGCACTTTGTGGAGCAGACATTTTGAAGTCTGAAATACATTCACTCTGTTTTTTCTAGCTCTCCCAGAACACGGTTCAGATGGATTCAGTACAACTATGCTTCTGGTGTTGATTCTTGGGCTATTGATAACGTGGTCCTGGCTACAGGGTGCCCCTGGATGTGCTCAGGCCACGGCATCTGTGATGCAGGTCGTTGTGTGTAAGTAGCAACCTGCTTAACCTGCTTCATAGAAAGGATGTTATGTTTTATCTAGGCCAGGTGGATAACACCTTTTCCTCCCAATTTGTTACTAGGTGTGACAGAGGCTTTGGTGGTCCATACTGTGTCCCTGTCATTCCTCTGCCGTCTGTCCTGAAGGATGATTTCAATGGTAACTTGCATCCAGACCTTTGGCCTGAGGTTTACGGTGCTGAGAGGGGAAACCTGAATGGTGACACCATCAAGTCTGGAACAGCTCTCATTTTTAAAGGGGTCAGAGATTACTTACATTGACAAAATGAGTAAAAACCGGTAGAGTTAAAAACAGAAAGTAAATTTTTTGTTGTTTTCCTCCATATGTTTACATCAAAATCTTTAGGCAAGAATTTGACTTTTTTTTTCTTGGTTTTTCCTGCCCTAAATATACACCATGTTTGTCACAGTTGTTTTTGATGAACAAATGGGTTTTGTCTGTTTGTTGGCTATTACTTTCATTTGTGGTACAAATTCCTCCGTAGCCGCCAAAGGAAAAGAATGAAACTCTGTGGCTGAGATTCTTGAGGCCAAGTGATTTGGAAATATGGTACACATTACAATCAATGGGATTTGTGTCTTGAAATCCCCTGATTGGCTTTTGAGTATTTTGAATAATACAGATTAGTCAGCACTGTAGTCTATGTAATCAATGTTTATGTAGTTAGCCTGTGTTTTACTTAATTCTGTCATTTTGAAGTTTTCTAGCTCTTTAAGGATTTTTTTGTTAATTACAGGTTAAAAAAGGCCAGGAAATGTTATATTTTCTGAACTTCTCAGTTCTTCAACAAAACACACAAATAGAGAGGCTTTTGTTCACATAAGCACATAAATTTTAGGCTCACACATGAGTCTTCATTTGATACTGTGAATTCAGGTGCCCCAAAAGAGGAAAGTTTAATAACTTTGGGTGTAGAAATGAATTCTTTAGAAATAGTTCTTTGCAAAACCTTGATTCCAATTCAACCTCTTTAGATCATCTAAATTACAAATCACAGGATGCAAATTGTATAAAACATGGATTGGTTGTTGCTGCAGGTTGTTGCCCTGGGGGAATGGGTCTGAGAAAGAGGGAAGCTCTGTGAGGTGGAGTTTGCCAGATCTCTGCAGAATGGGGACTGTCTCTGGCCCCAGAATCCACACAACATTGAGCTCATCTGTAGAGATGGACAGGACCCAAGGGGTCACTATGAGGTTTCCTGTCTGCTCCCTTTCCATACTGCTCTAAGTCAAGAGGTTGCCCCAGAAGAGGATATTTGTACAAAATATTTTTTGAGGCACAGAAAAAAGCTCCTAGAAAGGAGTCCTCCTGCCTGGAAATTAGGGTGCTTGGCTACTATACAATTTGCCCCCAAAATGGGTATACTAGCTTGGACTCAATGTCTAAGTCAGCTACAGTGCCTGCAGATCAGATCACATCCCAGTGGTTCAGAGCACAAATTGAATGAGCTGTACCTGTGTCTGTACCTGGCCACATAGCTGTGCCTCTGGTGCTGACACAGCCCCATATCTAGCTCTTTCCATTACTATGGTTCACTTTGCCAAGGCTATCACTATCCCCATTTCTGCCCGGGAGGTGTGGGACAGAGCACTACCTTTCTCACTGCTACCAGCAGTCAGTAACAGACAACATCCAGACAATAGTGAGCTGCAGAGCATCTTTAATAATGGGAACTGAGACTCACACCATATATTCTGTATTTGCAGGAAGGACTGAGAATGCTTGTTTCAAGAGATCTAGATTGCACTAATACCGTGTACATCCAGTTTTCATTTAAATTTATTGCCAAAGGTAAGATCACCTTTTATTTCCTCTCACTTCTCTAGCTTTATTCATATGTAGTAGCATCACAGAAAAGAATATGGATTTGCATTTTCAACATCAGTGTACATGATCATCAGTTTATGGTAGATAATATGGGAACTTGTTTGACATTCTGCATCATCCCTACCTTGCTACCAGCCTACATGGCCTTCTGTGCAGTAAAGAGTAAACTGTGGTGGTATCAAAAACAGCAGAGCTAGTACAGTCTTTGAGCAGAAGAGAAACAAAATAGCTCAAGATTTTTAGAGATTTTGCCATATGCTGGGGAAAATTAATTTGTCAGTTTTTAAAGTCATAAAATGGTGCCTATAGTAGATTACTTAAGGGACAGATAAGGAACTACCAAGTTTTTAATTTTCAAGTTTCAGTCCACTGCATTAAAAGATCTTACCATTTGGCTTCCTAGTAGGTATCATAGAGATGATCAAAACCCCATAATTCTATTTAATTGTGTATGAATAGTCAGACTTTGTAGTTGGTGTAACAAGCTTGAGACAGTTTCTCTAGTACAAGCACATTCAAGCCAATGATTCCATCTTACCCTGCTCCAAGCCCCTGCCATCTCTGGCCTTGCAAAATAATTTTATCCCAGACAGGAGTGACAGAGTGGAGAACCACTAACCTGGTTGAGCATTTCAGTTACTCCCATGCAGTCTCAGAAGTTTTTCCCAGCACTGCTTGTAGAACCGGGCACTTCAAGGCTGAACTCTCAACATGCAAAATTCCCTCTCCCTTTGGTGGAAGATGTTCATAGCTTCTGCGGGAAGGTCAGCACTCTGGGACTGGACTTGCCATTTGCCCAAGGACAGCTTGAAAATAGTTTTGATAATTATATCTTAGCCGAATCTCTGTACGGGCAAGTAAAAATGTAGCTCTTTCTGAATTAAGTTTGATTCCCTTTAATAGGCACTTAATCATATATACTTGGCTATTTATTACTATAGTTTAAGTATGTTACAGAAAAGAGAAAAACAATAACAGCCAAAAACATAACATGCCCCAAAACAATAACATGCCCAAGACTTCATGTTTAAAAGCAAAATCCTTGTGAATACTTCTTTTACAAAACTATGCTTCGGAAATATTTCTACATATGATCCTTGCCAAAATATTAAAAAATATGATGAAAATGAGTAAAAATGTCATTCTGAAAGGCAGAAAGAGCCAAAGGCTCAAGGCTGGATTTTGATACTTGACCCACAAGAGGTAAAGCAGTGAAACCAGGAGAAAACTTTTCTCATTAAATCCATATGGCTTGACTAGCCCTAGGCCTGGTTCCAGGACTTATTCCCAACAAGCTCCCTAATGTTTAATGCAAATTGATGTAGCTGGGCACATCTCAGCTGTAAGAGTTAAAAGCAGGGTGTTTTTTACTGTTAATTGCCACAGATAAGCTGAAAACAGTGCCTGACTGCAAATGTCTCCTCCCTGCTCTATTCCACATATGGTGGTTGAAGAGAGAATTTGTGCTGGAGCAGAGTGGGGCAGGAGTGTGCACAGCAGGTGCCTTGGCTTCACCAAATTCAGTTAATTTAGGAGCAGAACATGGGAACAACTTGCACAGTGAGGCAGGGATTAAGAAACTGTCCCTTAGCCCTTTTCTGTTGCTAGTTCCTGCCCTCATACTGAGTTTTTTGGGGAACTGCTATCATTGTTCCTGCACTACGAGGGGAGTGGAGAGCATAAATTTGTTTGAGTGAGATACCTCAGAGAGACCACCACTCAGACACTGATGTTTCTGGTCAGCAAGTCAGGCTCAGGCCAAACATGCACTGGGGACTGATCTTGTTCAGGGTAACCAGCATCAAGTGCAAGTGCTGGGCTCTAATCAGCATATGTTAATATACAGGACTGTATAGAGCCTTTATTGACTCTTTAAACCTTTAAGTTAAAAAAAGGAGGAGCTAGTAGTCTGAAAATGTAAATTTTACTCTCAGTTCCACTGCTGCTTTTTAGTCCCAGCTTAAAGCACAGAATATTGTTTTGTTGTTGTTAAAATATGCTAATAAAGATCTTCAGCGTTTTACATCAATGATATGATCTGTGGGCATGAATATACTCATTTCAGTATCTGCAGTCAGAGCCATGGACTATAAATTTGTGAGGATGAGGACTGTGTCTTTATCTGTGGGTGCTACAGATAGTGATGATAATGTCTGGTACCTGGAAACAAGCAAATAAATACTGAATTACTGAAAAATGTTTGTGGTAGAAGGGGCTGGTTTGTTCTAGTCTAAAAAATTGTAACACTGAGATAGCTTCTCATCTAGGTAAATTAACTGTGACTGTACATATAATGAACAGCAATGTAAATTTAGTCCCTAATTCATTAGCACTTTGCAGACAGACAAGCAAGGGGAAGCACAGGGAGATGTATATGTATAATAAACATATAACCTCTCAACAGCTTAAGTTGTTGTTAAAGCAAGCCCATACTCTGTAATAGATGTCAAAGTAACCTAACTGTATTTACACTTGAAGAAGTGTTTTTGAGCTAGTGCTTTTTAAAAACAGATTACAATGAATGTAAATGCATGTCTTGTCTGTTCCAGGCACCCCCGAGAGGTCTCATTCCATCCTGCTGCAATATTCTGTCAACGGTGGCATCACTTGGCACCTGATAGATGAGTTTTACTTCACGCAGACTACGGATGTCCTCTTTATTAACGTTCCTCTGCCCTACGCAGCCCAAAGCAACGCAACGCGGTTCAGGCTCTGGCAACCTTACAACAACGGTAAGGAAGAGACACCCATGGGAGTCCAGGTCCACACTTGCACAGCTCAACATTTGCAAGAGGCTAGATTTTTTAACTCAACAATGATAGAGACTCTTAAATCATGTTTTCTTATATTTGAACTCCTTCAATTAAAATTGTCACAGGATTGTGTTTACTGTTCTCATAGAGCTGCCGTATGCTTTGAAGTGAAAGTCCCTTAACCTAATACCCCTTGACTCTGTGCAGAAGTTTATCAGCTTTGGTCCTGGAGGGACTGGGAGATCAAGCAATACCAATAAAGTTAACTTCACTCAGGTTCTTCTCATTATTTTTAATGGACCTGATTCTTGTTTAAACTGAGGCCCCATTAGAATGCTCCAATTATACAAAAGTGTCCCAAGTGTAAATGTGAACTGGGCCAACCTTGCTCAGAATTAACTAGGCATTAAAAAACCATTTAGAAAGAGTATGTAGTGAGCAGTTAATCTTTTCATTAAATTGTAAGGGACTGTAGAAAACCACAAGAGGAATGCAGCTCATTCCTTCTGATTACAGGAGATGTGCCAGCTGAAGAAAACTCGTCTCTGCTCTCAGTTACTCTGAGCGCATCTCTCGCAGGAGCTGACATTAAGGGCTCTAAGGAATTCCAACAATCATTTAGACACAGTGATACAGCAGAGATTTATTCCATGCAGGCAAGTGCCTAGCACACCTATGAAAAAGAAAATTCAAATCTGGTCCTAAGAATCCAGTTCCAGTTCATCCTTCTGAGGTGTCCTGCCTAAAACATTTAACCAAACTTTTCTTGCAGACATTATCCTTAAGTAGGAATTCCATTTAAAAGAAGTAATTTAACTTTCTCTGATCAACACAGAGGCTTTTAGATAGATTAAAAAACAGTTACACGAGAGATCTGGCATTCTAATCTTTCCTCTGCAGTTTGAAAGCACCAATTTTGTGACACATTTGAATTCATAATCCATTGGAGAGAAGGTCACTCAGAGTTTCCTTCTCTCTCAAAGAGCTCTTGCCAAACACAGGCTGCTGAGTGCAAGGAAAAAGGTGCAGAATGAAATAATCCTTTTAGGCTGCTTGGGCTCTACAGCAACTGCTCATTTAGATGATTCTTCATTGAAGAAGACATTGATGCTAGAGTTTCAAAGTAAATGTGATTTAAACAGAAGATACTTGTTCAACACAGGTTTTTCACTTTTCAGTTTGCTGTGACTTCTGTAAATTTTAGAGGAATAAAAGTTAATTGTGTAGGACCAAACTGCAGAGCAATAGTGAAGCCACTCCTTTAGCACCCTCTTCTCAATGTAATCCATAAGTACTGGCTACTATTCTGCTCTCTAATAATCATCAATAATCAATCATCAATCTAATCATCATCAATAATAGTAGTATTAGGTCTTAACAGGAATGTTCCCCTTTTCTTTGTAGGCAAAAAAGAAGAAATCTGGATTATCGATGACTTCATTATTGATGGAAATAACCTAAAGAATCCCATGATCCTTTTGGATACATTTGACTTTGGTCCCAAAGAGGACAACTGGTTTTTCTATCCAGGCGGAAACATTGGGCTTTATTGCCCATATTCATCTAAGGGAGCCCCGTAAGCATCTCTCAGCAATACATTAGAAAAAAATGACTGTGCAATAAACTGAGTCTAAAGTACCCCTTTCCCTTCTTTACAGGGAAGAAGATTCAGCTATGGTATTTGTTTCAAATGAAGTTGGAGAACACTCCATTACAACAAGGGACCTGAGTGTGAATGAAAACACTATAATCCAGTTTGAGGTACTTGTCCTCAGAAAGTTACTTTGCCTTTTGCTCAGAGTTCTGTTCTTTCAGGTTCTGCTCTTGTGTATTCACCCAGCTGTTGTGATTGCCAAGCAGAGAAGTCTGGCTAATATCCCCTGTAATTGCTTTGATATTACTTTCCCCTGTGTGGGTGTATCATGAAGACTTTAACACACAGATAAGGGAACATTCTGCTTCAAAGTCTTCTATTTTCTTGCCTAAATTACTACTTTGTCCATGCACATATACTGCACTGACAGCATTAAAGTCCATGTCCTACAAGGTGAAGGGTCACCACTGGCAGACAAGATGATGAGCACCAAAATATAATGAAGGCCTAGACTGCTGCCTCACAACCTGCTCAGGATAAGTGTGCAGCATTTCCATGAGCTGATGCAATGGAGAGCTACGACTGCATCTGTGACAACAGAGAGTAATTTTTCCTGCATGCTGGCTTAACTGCCCAGGTTGTACTTTCTCAGAGAGCCAAGGCTCTGCTTTCTTTTTCCTTCTGCCCATGCTTTCATAGCAGCTCTAGTGGAAGCTGTTCTTTGCCCATGATAGCCTGAATTCATCCCATCTTAGGGAGTTATCTAAAGTTCATGAATAAGGAGCGTATTTTTTTTGTGTTTCTCATATGGAAACGGTGGTCAGCAGAAACAGGCACCGCAGTGACAACACATAGTCTGAACTAAACTGTTTTTTGTTTATCCAAAAATCTAAATCATGCATTGGCTAGGGTAGCTACTGATGGGAGTAACCATTTAGCCTAGTATGTATTAGTTTAGAGGGTTCATTATATTGTCATTAAGAAATTGTAAAAGAATTTTTCATATAAATTGCCATGCCACAATTGCCAGCCTGCTTTTAACAAAGATACAGCATGCTGTAGTATTAAACACCAAATGATACCAGTTTATAAAAAAATTACTCAAATGATACTGACGGTTTTCCAAGAAAACTAGATTTAGCTGTGTACTTATGCATGCTTCAGTTTGTCATGTAACTAATTAATAAATTATTGAACACCGACCATTTTCTGTTTTAAAAAATAGATCACAGCCTGTAGAAAAAAATATCTGAGGTCACTTTAAGATATTCATAAGTCTTCAGAGCATTAACCTCATAAAATCTACATGCTTACTTCCATATGTGGTAAGAATATTGTTTCCAGCTCACGTTTTTGAGGACATTAGTACAAATGAAGAAGTTATGCATAATGCAGTAGAGTTTCTCTCTGTGTCTCAAGAGTAAAAAACTATATTGGGTCAAGCATCTCTCTAAGCTTCCAGATGAGTAGACAACCCTTCTAGTCAAATGTAGGTTGATGGGACTCATGTGCACTGAAGAGTGATGAAGGAAATTTGACATAGGATACATTTTCAACATTCATGCACAGTTCTAAGTATTACTGAGGTTTAGAAATAAATAGATTTTCATTACAGAGTAGTATGTTGGAAAGACGCTTATTTTCCGCTACAAAGTTATGTAAAAAAATGCAAAATATTTCTTAGCTTTAGTACAGTCATCATATTTCATCAGCAATGGGTTTTTATTTATTGCATGGTAAGTATAGTACATCTTATTTTATAGGACAGAGTCATCCACTAAGGGAACTATTTCCTCTTCTTCTATATAAGAAATTTGAAACTAAAAGAATATCTTACTGTCAGTGTGAAAGAAAAGCAGACTAATTTTCACCAGGGGTGTGCAAAAAATGTGTCTTAAGAGGTCTCCAATTCTGTACAAAACTTCATTTTATATTTTTTCAGTAGTAGAAGTGTTGTTAATGTAGGTTTTCTGCCTTTTGTACTGTTCTCTACATCAGGAATCTTGTAAGAACACCTTGAGAAGTTTGATACTGCCAAACTATGTTTTGGTGTGACATTGAATCTAAATCCAATCCAGCTATGTTACTCTTTTAATGCTGTCTCCTAGGGCTTTGCTGCTATACATGAGCAAACGGGTAGTGAATATGAAAGCTGAAGAACATATTGAAGTGGTACAGCACACACCCTGTAACATAAAAGAGGACCATAGTGCAGCTCAGCAATTTAAAAAAATGTTTATGTTTGCACATTTTGTTTTAATATTTCTGGTTTTAAAAAATGAACATTTTTTTGGTGCTGTGATTACTTCAGTCCCTGCCAGAGGACTGCAAGAACTGATGCATTTGCTCCAATACTGTTAGCAGCTCTCCTTTAGGATTTTGTCTAATTAACTTTATGGTTTTCTTTTAGTAGAAGTAGTTGGGGATTTCATGTTACATTCATTTTATGATAAGCCAGAGTGCGATATACCCATGGGCAGGTAGGGCAATGTGCAAGAGTTCATGTTCATGTGCATGTCCTGAGTGCATCATCCCAGTTGTTAAATGAGTTCCCAAATCACCATTTCCCTGTGCTAAGCAAATTCCATGCCAAATAGGGAAGGCTGACTAAGATGAAGAGTGATTAGGTGTCCCACAGCCTGCCCTGTGTCATCTTCTGCATTTCATGTCTTGGCCTCCAGATCAATATCGGCTGCACCACTGATAGCTCCTCTGCCGACCCGGTAAAGCTGGAGTTCTCACGAGATCTGGGGGCAACCTGGCACCTGCTGCTCCCCTTGTGCTACAGCAGCAGCAGCCACCTCAGCTCCCTGTGCTCCACTGAGCATCACCCAAGTAGCACTTACTATGCGGGCACCACCCAGGGCTGGAGAAGGGAGGTCATTCACTTCAGAAAACTGCACCTCTGTGGGTAAGTGTCCTGCTCCTATTCCTGCCCAGCTGCTTGTTGGGTTGTTTTTATTTCTGTTTTCCATCCAAAATGTTCTCCCAGCACAAGAGTGTCCCGTAAGAACTGCGGCACTAGAGCAGACCAGATGACTAGTTTTTCTCTGCTTTTTGTCCTGAATATCAGTTAGTGTTCAGATGATTCTCAAAAATATGTTTTGCCTAATGCTAATGTAGAATAACCACAAATAATTACCTATTTATCCATATATCTAATAGGTGACATTATTATGGAAGTGGGTTGCATAGTAAAATGAATGCAAAACTGACTATCTTTAAAGCTCCTTCAATGGTCTTTACTGCAATGCATTAGCCATTTGAATTCATCGAGGATATTCTTGCATGAAATTTCAGATTCAGTAGAAAATCCAGTAAAAGGTGAGCTAGTATAAACTTGGTTCTGCTTTAGTGTAAGGAAATGGACTGATGTAAATACTGGAGGTCTCTTGTAGCTGCAAAGTTCTCTGATCCTAAGAAATTAACTGCTGCAGTCAGTTAAAGTTTGTGGAACAAGCCAGGTTGGATGATAACAGATACATAGCATAGAAAACCAGTCTGTGCTAGCAGGCATGATAATATGTAACTTTTCAAAGTATAAAACAATACTGTTTACTTTTTCAGGGAAAACTGTCTTCTAGCATCAACTCAGTTATGTACAAGATCACATCATTAAGGATTAAACTGTAGCAGTATGAATGAAAATGAGCTATGCAACTATGAGACTTTATGAGTCTAGGCAACTATGAGACCGAGTATTTATGAAACTACTGCATGCAGTGGGCCCTCCATAAATAAGTGTCCCCACATGTGCCTCTAAAAGTATGAAAAGACCTATATAAGAGATGAGAACCAAGTTTGGAAAGCCTGGATGTTTAATAATTTAAGAAAATGTTTAAATTTTAAACTTGAATTTTTTGGTTTATGACAGTTAACATTTCAAGCATGGAATAGGTAACCATCTCCTGCAGCAGCTTATTTGTCCTTCTGGTTTTGCCCATAAGAATTATTTGACCCTTTACCCAACTACCAATGCATCCCTCCAAATGAAAATTTTGACCTAGCAGACTCGTAATTCATTTAAACCTTCCAGTTATTTCAATGTAGTCCTCTGTTCCTGAGTGTTTCTGTCCCATTTGCCTGCTTTCCCTCCTATTCATTCCCCAACACACCAGGCCAGAAGCCAATTGCTGATAGCCAGCCAAACTCAGCAGCAGACTGCTTCCATGGAGCATTTGGTGACATGAAATTCTCAGTCCACAGGGCTGAAGGGGGATTTTCTCCACCAGAATCCAGTGGAATGACAAGAAAAAAACTCCAAACTTGACTCCTTGTGTAATTCTAAAAAAAACCCCAGCCATTTCATCCCCAAAGTGTCAAGTCACTATATTTAAATGAAGATGAAGACATTTTTAGTTATTTCCGCTATGTATGTTATTTTGGAAATGAATACATGTTCTCAGCAGATAGCTGTAACTATGAATTAGTATTCCAGCTATGTCCTGAAGGAAAAGCCCAGGGCCTGTTGAGTCAGTGCATAAACACTTATCGACTTCAGCAAGACAGGTATTTCACTCTGCTTCAGACACGAGTCACGCTTCACCCACGCCTGAGAGAAGGAGCTGACATGCCTCAGGGGTGGAACGAATCTTGCCCATGGGGCTCCTCTGAAGAGAACCTTACAACACCTCCAGCCCTCACACCCAAGGGCGCACTAAAATCAATGTTTTTGACTTCTAGCAGGACTCTGGTTCTTGGGTATCTTTCTTGAAACAGTTAGTGATGTCCACACGCATTAGCTGCCCCTTATCACCTGAATCCCCTCATAAAAATTCCTTTCAAGACAAAAAAACTTGTCAGCTACCTGTGCTATTGATTCACCTGCTGCATTTAGATATCTCTAACAAGACACATTAAACATGCAATGCAATTAAGTGCTTTCCCCTTCTCACTCTTCTGGTTTCCTTCCTCCTTTAAAGTGTTTTCTCACTGGGGAATAAAATTAGCCTCTCAAATGTTTTTCCTGTGCTTGGTTTATTTTCCCTCCTTCCCCAGTCGATTCCTCTTTACATGTAGCATTGATGCAAGGAGCACTTAGGAAGCAAATTACAAACAACAGAACAGCACCCAAAGGAGAATATAGTTTAAATTAACAACTTGCAATATCAGTCTGGTTTAAGATTAAGCTGCCTGAAAGCAAGCTGAATACCTGGTGACATGGCAGATGATGTTTTCTTTCCATGTAACTGAGGGTGAGAACTTACCACCCCAGTTCCACAGGTGGTCTCCCTGGGGGCAGGGTGGCAACCTGAAGTAGGATTTCATTCTCCTGGAGAGGGTGAAAGTGGCCAGGTCTGACCCAGACACTGTACAGCAAAGCAGAAGGAAATCCATCAGACCATGGCCATTCATCCTCCCCACGAGTGATGGAGAGAAGAGTGGTTAGATTTAAATTCCCATTTTCAAGTCTATCATTCAGTTTTGGTATTACAACTAATGAATAATGTTATTTTTATTTCTGTCAGTACTTGGGTAGAATGTCAGCATAAAGACACATGAGGCACTGAAGGAATTAGATACAGCAGTCAGTTTCTAGAACTAAGCTATTTATCAAGCCAATTCCAACAAAAAGAGCACTATATTATACATAGTATGGTATATATGTGGAATACGAAAAAGATGGAACTATTATTTAAAGTAAGCACACTTTATGCCTTTTTCAGGTTGGCAAGGTTCAGATGGTACCAAGGGTTTTACTCTGCTGGATCCCAGCCAGTGACTTGGGCCATTGACAACGTGTACATCGGCCCACAGTGTGAGGAGATGTGCAACGGGCATGGCAGCTGTATCAATGGCACAAAGTGCATCTGCGACCCCGGGTACTCTGGGCCAACCTGCAAAATAAGTACCAAGAACTCTGACTTCCTTAAGGATGATTTTGAAGGTATCTCTTCTCGGTTTTTGGCCTAGATTATCCCTGTCTGTCTTAGTGGAACCCAGAGCCCGAGGGATGAAACAGCAAAGTCTTCCCCACCTCTACAGCTTCTGAATTTAATTTGTGCTGTGAGATTATTCCCATGACCCAAGTAGTTTAGATGTCATTCTCAAGCATGGTTTGTGAATGTCTGATGGCTATCAGTTGTCTGGTTTGGAGTGTCTGACTCTTTCTGAAGCTGTTAATGCTGTAATACAAAATCTTCACCAAAACAGAATTTCCTGAAACTGCAAGTAGAAAATAATTTTAGACTAAATTGATGGTGGTTTGACTTTAGCACAGACAGAACACGTGAAAGTGAGGCAAACAACACAGGGCTTTAAGGTTGTGTCGTTTCTCACTACAAGGGAAATCTAAGTGGCCTTAATAAGGCAAATATCATTTCAGAGCAGACCATGTGTCTCAGCGGTGAGGGCCACCGCTCGGTAGGCATGGCAGATCCCAAGCAAGTGATGCCAGGAGGGAATTCAAAGCCTCATGCATGCCTGAGCACACACAACATCCACACACACAACTCTAAAACCACCTCAAGGTTTCCCCCGCTAGCAAGCATGGCAAGAAGAGCACGTTTTGAATAAAGCAGCATCTGTGAACCAAACTCATCCCTTCATAGGTGCTGCTGTTCATTTTAAATTTTGCCAGCCCTTGCTTGCATGCTACCACATGGTACTTGAAGTTTCTTTATAGACCTGGGTACTTCATTGTTATCTTAAGAAAAATGAAGAAAAGTGGAAAATCCTGTGAATAATTGGAGACTAAGATCCCAAATTTCACACTTATGGGTTTATTTTATTTATTTTGTTTTGATTTGTGACAGTTTTTTAGAAAACATTGCATTGGAAACACTGAATATTTGTTCACTCTGCATGTAATGTTTAATTTAGCTCTCTTCCTCTGGAAATAGTACTCTTGCAGTAGGAGCACTTCAGAGTAAATCATAAATATGTATTTACTGTGTATTCAGGTCAGCTGGAGTCTGATAGATTCCTGCTTGTGAGTGGTGGAAAACCATCAAGGAAATGTGGTATCATGTCTGGAGGAAACAACCTCTTCTTTAATGAAGAAGGCTTACGTATGCTGATGACTCGAGACCTAGATTTGTCACAAGCCAGGTAACAGTTTTAAAGTTCTTTCAGGATTTCACTGAAGAAATAATATACTGAAGAATAATACATATGTGATACTTCTGTGGTAAAGGCACGCTGATAAACTCTGTGGTCCTTACTCTAGCAAATATTCCATTTTAAACACTGTTACTATTTTAAGTTAAATTTAACTTGAGCTTTAATGGTACTAACCATTTAAATGTTACTTTTTTCCTTGAATAAGAACTCCAGGATCTGATGCCACACCTTCAGTAGTTTATGCAAGTTTTTATTTCTTAAATGCATAATGTGAAAGATCGATTGTACATCACATGTTCTGCTTGTCTTACAGTTTGGTGTATTACAAGCCATTGCTGAAACGGGAGCATCTGCTGCCAGTATAACTCTTACATTCATCATCTCATAATTCCTTCATTTCTGAAGCTTACTTTCTTCTTATTGTGCACATTTGTTTCCAATAATTCACTGAGAAATTCCCATCAAGCTGTCACCAGCTACACTGAGCACAGCCATTGAGAAACAAATATTTTTAGTATATTTAGAGACTATGTTGCATCATTACAGCCTGCAGAGGAGATATTTGATGAGTGAGACATACTAAGAAAACCACATTTAAAAAAAATTACATTAATATAAATTAAACCACATGCTAATTGCATGCTTGCTAACAAATAGGCATTGTTTTCTAATTTATTCAGTATCTTAGCTTATATCCTTGTATTATTACTTTGGAGAGATTGCATTTTCTCCAAGACTTTTCTCCACTGGTCTCTTGTAAACACCCTACTCCTCTCTAATGTTCTGTGGGAAACGTTTTAATAGGCACTTTATCACTTTTTGACTTGTCTTCATTAGCATTGAATCTTTAAATAATGGTTTAATTGCAGAGCTCCACAGTCAATAAAGATGCCTACTTTCTAGCCATTGTATTTTTTAGATAAGCAATTAGTTAACCCTCAGTGAGGTGTAGTATTAGAGGTCCTTGTACTGAATTTGTGAGATTACTCACAGCAAACTTTTTTCAGAACTTGGTAAACACAAACATCAATACTCTGCACTAATTTCCTAGACCATTCTGAAATTAAAAGATTGCTTAACAAAAGATACCAGAGACCTTGTAAGTTGCTCCATTTGACTAAATGACATGTTTTCCTTATTGCTCATGTTCAAAGTACCACCATTTATCTCTTCTCCATGATAGTCTGTAGCTGGATTTGCATATATTGACCTCCAGGTGTTATATGGAGATAAATTACTTCTGTCTTAGTAAAAGGAAAACAAAGCCCTATGTTTAATATCTTGTATATGCTTATGAAAAATAACAGTTATCAACAAATAACTGTATGCTCTCTTCTGAACAGCAAGGCAGACTGCAGCAGTGTTGCTGGGGACTGCTCTTTAGCAACCTAAAGTAATTGCAGTGCGATCTTCTTAATTTCCAGGCTGACTTTATTGGCCACCTGCAAAGTACAACAGATCTGGGCAGAGGTTTCAATTTATGCCAGGAATGATGAGAACCAGTGTTTCTATTAGATCTTTTAAAGGGTACTAGACTCGGTAGTCATATTAAAACCTCCCCTTTTCTTCTGAGACCCCCTGAAGTACACGGGTGAGCAGTGGTGGCAGTGCTGCAAAGCACGCTCACCACCTGCAGATTGCAAGTGGACTCTGCAAGCCACTACCTACTCGTATGACATCTATATTTTAAAGAATTTAACACAGGGGACAATATACTGGTGAGGCTGGACCTCAAATACTGTGTTCAGTTTTGGGCCCCTCAATACAAGAAAGACATTGAGGTGCTGGAGCGTGTCCAAAGAACAGCAACGGAGCTGGTGAAGGGTCTGGAGCACAGGTCTTATGAGGAGCAGCTGAGGGAACTGGGGTTGTTTAGCCTGGAGAAGAGGAGGCTGAGGGGAGACCTTATCGCTCTCTACAACTACCTGAAAGGAGGCTGTAGTGAGGTGGGTATTGGGCTCTTCTCCCAAGTAACAAGTGATAGGACAAGAGGAAATGACCTCAAGTTGCACAAGGGGTGGTTTAGATTGGACATTAGGAAAGATTTCTTCATGGAACAGGTTGTCAGGCATTGGAACAGGCTGCCCAGGGAAGTGGTTGAGTCCCCATCCCTGGACATATTTAAAAGCCGTGTGGATGTGGTGCTTCGGGAATAATGTTAGGTTAAAAGTTGAACTTGATCTTAAAGGTCTTTTTCCACCCTAAACAACTCTATGATTCTATGATCATGGTGATACCAGTAGCTGAAACTGCACAGCATGAAATATCAGGAGGGACAGCATATTTTACGTATTGCATCTGATCAAATCCTTTCAATTCTGAATTACTAGAAGAATATCCACCCATTTTAGTGTTACTAGATCTACAAGAAAACTTTGTTTTTCCATTTATAAATAGGCAGAGCCTTTGCAAAATATCTGTGGGAGGAGAAGAGAGATATTTAAAATGACTTAACTTTTTAATCTGCTACATGTTATGTTACCTATATTTGAGTGGGTTATTACCATATTGGTAAAAATTCAGATAAAAGAATAGCAATCCACAGAGAGCAGATTCGACAGAGACAAGGTTACCTGGGCTTATTTCCTTTGAATTATGTGGTGAATGTCGGAGTAAATCTGAGGAGGCACAAAGCCAGCAGTGAATCCAATCTATTACAGTTGATATGTTGATCCATGAGGGTCCCCAGTGCTCCTTTACAGCACAAGCAATACGTTATGTCTGGGACACGGAGGTGGATATAATCTATAGTAAAAGAAGTTATATATAGTAGCAAGAGCAACCGTGAGTCACAGCGAGGGCTAGAATTAATTGACTTGCAGGTCTGGTGTTTTATTGAAGCTTTGTCTGCCCAGCACCTCCGCAGCCTCCACTCCCAGCAGATCTACCTGCAGATCAAACCAGAGCAAGACTTTTGATACAGAATTTCTTTTGTATTGTTTCATTTAACCATGAGCCAGGCAGCACTAATGAAATAATAATTAGAACAGATACGACACACTAAAGCTGTGCAAAAGCTATGCAAACATGAATTAATACTTGTAATATCCCTGCAAGTCCCATTGGTAAATATCATTACAGGAGCGGTTTCCTCCACTCCAAGTGCCTAGTAGAGCTATTTATGAGCATCGGCTAACAGGAAGAATTTTGCAGTTTGATATGAGTCTACTGTGCTGCTTTGGAGAAGCTGATTAAATAGGGGATGAAAGCGCTGGTGTCACTGGGTGGCTTGGGCTGGCTTCAGGGAAGCCAGCACATTTAAGCACTGTGATTTAGACAAATTTCCCAGGCTGACTAAATGGACAAAATGATCCCTGAAAGTGAAACACACTTTGTTCTCCTGTCCAGACCTTCTCTACTTTATGCCAATGGAAAACTGGGATGCTTACTTTGAATTTAAGCATTTCAGCAAATTCATAGCAAATTATGATCTACTTAGGGCGTCGTTGCTTTTCTGCCACTAAAATCTGTACTGATGGGCTACAGGGATGAAAACTTCACCCAGGATTATTTTTCTGATATTTGCAACACCATCTGCCATGCAGACAAAAGCTCCAAACATAAATGACCAGCTTTGTTCAGTCTCTTCTGCCTGACAAACCAGCACACAGGCAAAATGAATTTTTGTCATCCCCACCTGTCTGTCTATTTATATTCTGGAGGCTTTGAAAAGGAAATCATGAGGTCTCCTAAAGCTGACTCTTACAGCAAGAAATCATGGGGCTAGTCAATAAACAAGCTCCAAGTCTCTCTAGCTGGCTATCTAGGATGTTGCAGAAAAGAAATCTTTCCAGTAATTGCTCCCCCTGTTAGATTTGTGCAGTTCTTCATGAGACTGGGATGCGGCAAGGGGGTGCCAGACCCCAGGAGCCAGCCTGTGCTGCTGCAGTATTCGCTCAATGGGGGCCTTACATGGAACCTTCTCCAGGAGTTTCTCTTCAGTAACTCCAGCAATGTGGGACGATACATCGCCCTGGAAATTCCCTCGAAGGCCCGTTCCAGCTCCACTCGGCTTCGCTGGTGGCAACCATCTGAGAATGGGCATTTCTACAGTCCCTGGGTAATCGACCAGGTAAGGAATCCTCTGGGTTGTTTTTTTCTAATACAACTTTAGACTGTTTTCAGTCTTAATGATTCCCTTTTGTTGGCATATGTCATTTCACTGAGTCAAGCAAAAATGCTTTGTATAAAGATATTCCAGAACTATAATAATCTAGAAAAATAATAGAGCACAATCACTTTTTGCTAATCTTGTGTTTTTAATGCACCGTTTCCATGCAGGGTACTGAACGCGCATTTTGGAGCTAGGGAAGTCCCATACACGGGTAAAGCCACAGGTTCACATTACAGAAGGCCTTACCATGCAACATGCAAGTCTGAATTCAATCTTCAAAAACCTTCATTTAAAATCTATCCAGATATGTCATCGGCTTGGTAGAATGTAATAGGAAAAACTATAGAAAAACATCGATCTATATCCATCTTCTAATTTTGAAAACAGTTTTGTTTCATATTTGAGATTTGCTTCTATAAAGATTATTATATTGCTTTGTATGACTTGGTATAAATCTCAAGAAACCGTACTAAAGTGATTGCACTCTAAGTAGTGTTATTGGGTTGTCCAAGTTCAACTTGCTTAAATATTTATGGGTTTTTTTAAAGGAGTTAGTTCAGGTCCTTAGGAGAAACCCAGAAACCAAACTCCCAGCCACATTCAATGATGTGGTTACAAAGTTTTACTTCCCATCCATCCATTTAAAAATGAAAAAAATCCTCATTCGTTCATTCCTATATCTTCACTGAATGTAGTTATATTAGTTCAGAACAATCAGAACCTGAATTCAGAATAACAAATGAAAATTAATTCTACCTTGCTTGCTGTTGAATAGTAAAATGATGATGTCTTACACTCAATGGCAAAACTGAGACTATTTCCCCAGTTCTTTCAGCAGATGCAGTCTGATAGTAGTGAACCAGATGATAGTAGAGCTGAACAGTCAGTAGGAAAAATGACAGCCTAGTCACTTTGCTCCTACCAACATTTATTTTTGTGAGCAGTTTTACTTCGTCCAGGATGGAGTTCACCTCCCTGAACTTCAGATTTGTATAGCTGAGCCAGTCTCTTTAGGACCCTCTTATAGGAAAAAGATATTCCCCTTCCTCATAACCTAACTTTTTACTTTTTACAAAGTAAATTTGTCCATTTTGGACCAGCAGAATATATATGCACAGATCAGTAAATCTCTTCCTCCTCCAGGATGCTATGTCACGTGTATGTTTGTGAAGACTTCTAGACATACTTTCTTTTCAATAACAATTCCTTTCCTAATGTTTCAGATTCTTATTGGAGGAAACATCTCTGGCAATACGGTATTAGAAGACGATTTCACCACACTGGATAGTAGAAAGTGGCTGCTCCATCCTGGTGGAACAAAGATGCCCGTCTGTGGCTCTACTGGGGATGCTCTAGTGTTCATTGAGAAAGCTAGCACCCGCTACGTTGTCACCACTGACATCGTTGTCAACCAAGACTCTTTCTTGCAAATAGATTTTGCAGCATCCTGCTCTGTCACGGACTCCTGTTATGGTAATGACTTCTTAGTAAATCCTGCCCTTCCTCTCCTGCACAGGAAAGTTCACTTGTTTTCTGGTTCCGTTATTCATTATAACAAGAACTGAGAAACAAAAGAAAGCTGCATGTTTCTGTTAGGAATTGTAATATCAGGGGTTTTATTCTAGGTGTCTGAAGCCTAAGATAAACTAAAGCATATTATTCCGTCCAAGCACTTCAGTTGCAGTTCAATTCATTTAAGAAAAAAACTAACAGCTGTCTTACTCAAATCCATTTACCAGTATATGGTATCCACTGCTTGGGGTGATGTTGTGGTTCTAATAACAAGCAGCTGGGTGTTTCCAGCATATGTTTCTTGGCTTGTGGGTTTGCATTTTTGGTGAAGTCTCAGTTCAGATCTCACTTGAATCTGTATAACTAAGAAATCATTTGCATCAGCATACATCTGGCACATGCTAAGCCAGCATCAACTGCAAAAATTTCTATCGTCCATGTGAAATAATGAACATGTATATATATGTACGTATGCTGGTGCTGAGGGACATGGTCGAGTGGTGGACTTGGCAGTGCCAGGTTAACAGCTGGACTTCATGACCTTAAAGGTCTTTTCCAAACTAAATGATTCTGTGATTCTATGCGTGTATGAATGTGTGCATAGATATGTGCACCTATATGTGTATATATACATATACACATAATGATGCAGTTTTTAATTACCTAGCTTCCTTTTTTCCATATGATGTGTATTCAGTGCAGAGCATGCTTTTATACCCATATATGTATATATACAGACATAGACATACATATACACATATAAATAAAAACAGGCTCTGCACTTAATAAACATCACATGGAAATTAACAATTGGTTCATTATGTGAATTTTAAGATGCACAAGAAATAGGTCTTCCTAGCTTTTGAATGCTTGTTTGTACATCTTAAATTACATTCTTTTAGCGTAGGGTTTTGCGGTATAGATTTTTTTTATGAGGAGGAGAACACAACATGTTGCAGCATGTAGCATGTGTTAATTGACTGGGTTGCTGACTATTCCTCTAGAATTCTGCATAAAAATGGGAAAAAGTTTTACATGAAGTTCGAGAAGTGGTTCTCTGATTTTGCTATTCTGAAGCCAATGGAAGTAACTGAGATATGTTACTGACATGCTTAACAATATTTTTTTTCTTTTGGTATTAAAAAGACTGAGGCATCCTAAGATCATCTCTGCTATGTTTAAAAGTGTTTTGGCAGCTTAGCTATATACTGGCAAAGAAACAGTTCCTTCTTTTTTTGTTTCTTTGTCTACTACACTTACCATTATCTTAATATACTGTTAAATTAGGCAGCACACTACCTAATCACGCTTCCGGTCATGATGAGCAAAGCATTTCTTTTTGGTGATGGAGAGTTAACACTAAAAACTCACTTACCCTTGTTTGTATCCACTTGTCCTTGTATTTCTATAGCACTGTCTTCTGTGCTTAGACATCAAGTAGGACTGATTGGGTGATTAAGGTCATTCTCTGTGCATGAGGGTAGAAGAAATGGGTCTGTAGTAATCAAAAAAGATCGCAGATTTACCACCCCTGTCACTGCAAACACGCTCCATGTTTTACACAGCCAGAATGCCTGGCAGCTGGAACATTTACTTCAAGTTACAGTTCTGTGCCTATTATTATTTACTTTTTAATGGCTGCATAAAAGTTTAACTTGAAGTATTTAGTGAGCTTGACTAACCTTTATTTTTCATAATAAAAGTTTAAAAGCTATAAACATCAAAACAATGAAATTGCTGATTTTTGCTGAGAAATGAATACATTAGTTTAATGTGGCTGGACTGTGTTTGAATGAAAACAAGCTCACTGACTAACAAACTCAATTTAAAATTGTTTATGCTGGATAATGAAATGAGCTGGTCTGGAGGGGGGTGGAAGAGAGACTAAACCATATTGTGAGAGAGACAAAAGTTTGAATTTGAGTGGTGTTCTGTCTTAGACAAAGGTTACATCCAGCTGAATCTCAACTTTTAACCTGAAAAACAAAAAAGTCACTGGTCATGATGCTGTCACATCACTTTCTTACATGCTGCAGCTACAGAAATTGCCTTGACTTAATCCTGGAGATTTGACAGATGACTTTGTCTTTGCACCTGTGGTCCCTCCAGTTAGGTGGTGGACGCGGAGGATTACTGCAGCCTTCTCCTGAGCTATACCTGCTCAGCAACATGTAACGTATCCTCCAGCACTGCCATGGAAGAGGGTAGCTTTGTGCTTCTGACACAAGGGTTTGAAAAGTTTTGAGTGGTTATTTTGTCAGCGTAGACTTCTGACTAACACTCTCTGAGGTTACCAGTTTATTGTAGACCTATGGATAAGTCTCTAAATTAAGTAACTAACCATCTTTCCACCCTTAGCTATCGAACTGGAATATTCAGTGGACCTTGGGCTGACCTGGCACCCGATTTTGAGAGACTGTCTTCCCACTAATGTGGAATGCAACAAGTACCATCTCCAGAGAATTCTCATTTCGGACACTTTCAACAAGTGGACCCGGGTTACTTTGCCTCTGCCTCCCTATACTAGGTATCTCCCTCTGGTTTTCTGCAGAATAAATCTAAATGCATAACTATGTATTGAGGCATGATACATTACAGCATTAAAATAATTGTACTTTGCCATTTTTGTTTGGTCCATGTATATAGCAACAAATAAGTATATGAATAATGAAACCTCATCCTGCTTTGCATAAAAATTGCAAAGCTACTATGTGGGTTTACGTTTTTTGGTTATTTAAAGATAGGAAATGCTTGTCTGTCTTGTCCTGGGGAGGGACAGGGGGAACTTTTTAAAGAATCTCATGTTATTGTCAGCCTCACTAAATTCTGGTTGTTTTGGTGGGTAATTGGACTGGCTGAATCCCCACTGCACCCTGTGCTTGCTGTTGTTGGCTGTGAGCTGGTGTTTTACATGTAGCACTTTTCAGGCTTCTTGTTTTTCTGTACATTCCTTGTATCCTTCGTGTCTCTCTCAGCTTTGATGCTCTCATCATTGTCTTTACAGGTGCCCCATTTTCATCTGCTCTTCCTTTTCCCACATTCTTTTGTCTTTGAGGGAAGACAAATTGTGGGATTTGTTGGGAGGTAGCAGTGAAAGAGGCTGTTTTGGACTGACAGTGCTATTGGGAGTGCTGCCTTAGGTTCCCTACAGTGCCCCGAAAACTGCTGGATTTTTTTGTTTGTCAAAAAGATCCATCTAGGGACAGCTGGGTAGTTCAGCCTTCCAGTTTGTGTCATTCTTGATGTGTTGTTTTGCAGTGATAGCTGTGACTGTCCCCTGCACAGTCATGCCTGATAAAGCCGGCATAGAGCTAGCCCAAAGTAAAGCCCTGCAAACACAGGTAGCGTGGACATCAGGCTCTCAGCACAACTTGACTCTACAGCTTTGCTCCTGTTGCTGAGCCCAGTCTCCTCACGTAGGCATAGGCTGAGCTAACTGCAGGCACAGAAGTACCACAGCACAGGCAGAGCCTATGCTTGTTTGAGAGGGTTGTTATGAAAGATGCCAGCTAATGCACAGACAAGTCTGGAAACAGAGACATTTATTTTTCAGCAATTGTACTGACAGCGCCTATACAGTTGCCACATGTTTTGAAACTAGTAGTGGAAAAATCCATGGTCTATTACTAATCATTTGGGGCATCTAGACTCTTCCCTATCTTCAGTGCAGTGCTTCACATCAAGTAATAGTGCTTTTTTAAGGACCTGTTGCCAGCATTAATCTCCTCTGCTTCCTCTTTTGTACTGCTTCACTACATATTGTCTGTAAAATCCATCACCCCAACAGTTCTTGTATAAAGTCTGTAAATTTTTGTTCAGGAGGGGCTTTCTGGGGCTGAATAGGATAAATCAGGACTGGGGACGATGTTCCAAACCAATTGAATTTGGACCTGAAAGGAACCTACCACCTGAGATAAAGTCAGGTTTATAAATAACTGTGATTTTAAGACTGGAAAGTTTTTGAGCAGTATATGTCAAAAGAAGAAGTCTGATGCCCTACTGTGGCAAAGATAGCTCTTCTGTCCAATCCAGTAATTGTATTTGTTGGCTCAAGTAATACCATTTCCCAGAGATACTATGATAGGGATTGCATGAGAGAGGTTATGACAACCTTAGCTCACAAGCAAGGGTTAAGCTTTAGTATAAGGAAAAGTCAGCTAATAGGCCCTTTAGTCTAGATGCAATATAATTTTTATGCTGCTTTATTATTTCAAGCTGTGTAATAGCAGGTGTCTGTCTCCAATTGTTTGTGCCTGTATGTTTTAGGGACATGCAGGCTATATAATCAATAGCTTGGTCTGGTGCACAGCACCCATATTTATGGAGCCTTTTAGGGGTCGTGTACCCCAGAGTGCTATCTAACCTCTGGCCTGTAGAAGGCAATGAACACTTAGTTTTAACTTAGACTCAGAGCTGGTCTTAAAATGCAAATGCAAATACAAAGTTTCTGCCAGGAGCATCAGCTCCATAAATTGTTAAAGTGCCAAACCTAAAGCAGGCAGTGTACGATATAGGTTCTTGTCTTTATTCCTAAAGGATTTCTTCACAATTTATGCTTTTTTTTTTTTTTGAATATGCTATTTGGTGAGCAGCTAGACAGCACAGCAGTAGATTTCTCTTTGGATAAACTTGTTATTCATTCACCTCGTGTAACATGTTTACAAAGAAATGATTCATAGGATAACATTGACCTTACCATAAAAGGTCTATTTTTACACTGAATAAATTTGGGGGATTTTGCTGTTTATTTGTTTTGGTGTTTACAATAATTGTGATTTCTCTTTGAGTTTCAAAAGAAGAGAGACTACACAAAGTTCAATGCTGCCATCTAGTGCTGTACAGCAAAACATGGACTAGTTTGAATTTAAAATGGGATTTTTGAAAAGTTACAGAAATTGATCTACTTGCAGCTATTCAAATGTAGGTGTCTACTGCTGCATGAGCTGAATAGTTGCTTGGTGTCCCCTGACTGTTTTGGCTAGGTTTTCATCATCTATTTTGGTAGCTGGGACACTTAATTCACATATAGCTACATCAAAGCAAGGTGTTTAAATAGGCAGCTAAGCCCCCTTTAATCAACAAAATTAAAATGATTTACTGGAAGGAGCCAGGATCACACCATAGATCGTTTCTAACATTTCCAGCCAAGCACTGGATGGAGGGGAGGGAGGAAGCTGCAAAACCAGGGTCACGCCGCAAGCCCTGCATGCGTGCTCTCACCTGTCCCCTGTGGATTTATAAATGGCAGCATCTTGCCTAGGAGCCAATCCACTCCCTAGAGCTGCTCTTACCTAAGTATAGTTGGGAGAAGTCATAGAGAAAAAGCTGGGTCAGTTTGTTGACTTGAACTGAAGCAATAAAACTCAGGCTCAGGGTGAAACTTGGAGGATTTGGGTGATTCTGGATTGATCCAGCTCCCAGCTATCCCTCAAGCTGATTCATCCTGGGACATGGTTATGACTGGTCTGAGCTTCCCTTTGGCCATATCACCTTCTTCCCACCCTCTTCTCTACTGCACCAACTACAGCCCACTTGCTTTGCTCTCACCAGCGGTCCCTTTCCTACCTCCCACACTCTCAGTATGCTACCAAGCACCTGTGCTTTGTCCTGCTCTCAAAATGTGGGCATGCTGTTCCTGGCTTTTCAGGGACCTTGTTGTCAGAACTCAGCCCTGGGTTGTGCTGATATCAAACAAATCTTCCAGATGCAGTCTAGCCTCAAGACTGACGTTTCCTTCCAGTCAAAATAAAGATTAGCTTAGCTAGAAATATAGCTAGAAATATTACCTTCCTGTTTTTCTTTCTCTCCCAAAGGTCTCAAGCAACTCGTTTCCGCTGGCACCAGCCTGCTCCTTTCGATAAGCAGCAAACGTGGGCAATCGATAACGTCTATATTGGGGATGGCTGCATAGACATGTGCAGCGGCCATGGGAAGTGCACACAAGACAACTGTGTGTAAGTGCCATTTGTTCCCTGTCCTGCCCAGTGCTGTAGCATTTCACTCCTCCTTTGTCATTTTAATGAACTTGCAGGAAAGACTTTGATACAAATTTTAAAAGGAAGGTGGATTTTGCTGTTAAAACTGAGCAGGGCACTGGGACCACTTGGGAAGAGAAATAACAAGGAAGGGTAAGTGCAGGGGTTGGCTCTGCCGGACCTCTGCAGGCTCGCACATCGTGGGCAATGCTGCTGGTCCTTTCCTCAGTGGCAATGCATCGCCTCTGCTGCTGCCTGTGCTGCATCTTGGCTGCCTTCACACCAGGTAGGGAGAAGGGATCCCTTGAGTTTGCATACCCCTCTAGGAACATACAGTCCTGGAGCTTCCCAGAAGATGTCATCCTTATTCCAAAGGGGTTTCACGCTTTGTCCCCATTCCCTCGTCCTGGCACTGGGTGCAAAGGAGCTGGGCTGGAGGTGGGACATGTCCACTAAGCAGAAGGCTATACGCCAGTTCTTCACAAGGCCAGATTTTGCCTTGGGACTGGTGTTGGCTTGATGGCCTGATGCTTCTGGTCTACGGTAGGGTTTGCCAGTGGAGACAGACTGGCTTGAGCCTCAAACTGTCTGTGTAACAGCCCACGTAGAGCCCTGCAAAGCTAACTAACAACAAACCAGATCTCCCCAGATTTGTCTGTCTGGCAACAGAGAAATACCTTCCAGATGGATGTATTGCTTTTTTCCAGCCACAAATGGCAACAGAAATGGGAGAATGGTTGTATGACTGCACTGTGACTCTGTTTGTTAGAAATATATTCTGCTGCAGAATAGACATATTATTGTGTTGTCCTCTGTCCTGACAGCACTGAGGTACCAAGGCACGATCCCCCTGGTGAAATGTGCATAGTAGCAGAACACATTTCCGTGCCATTATCCAATCTTTGACACATTATAAGAAGGCTTTTCAGAGGCAAAAAAAGGGGCACTATATAAAGAAACAACAGGAAAGTACCCAGCCACTAAAATTGTACAGAAACTTACTTAAAATTTAACATTAACAGGACATTCTTAGGCTTGGCACATTCTCTTAGGTTTATCTATCCAAGTACAATGCATTTTACGGATTTTACTCTGTGCTGGAGTGTACTCTGTATTACCAGCTTGAATGATACGTAATACTAGCCTTCCTAAAGTCATTTTTGTTTCATATTAATGACAAAAAGTGGCAGATGTTTGAAACCCCCATATACCAGTTGTGTTCTAGTAAATGATGCAGACAGCCTCTATACGGAGTAAGATGGCAACTTAATGTGGAATAACATAGCCCTGATTAAACCTCCGTGCAGAGCCTTTGCCAGCTGAAGTTTGCATTTGTTTTCCTCTGCAGCTGCGATGAGCACTGGGGTGGGCTGTACTGCGACGAGCCAGAGACGCCCCTTCCAACACAACTGAAAGATAACTTCAATCGCTCGCCATCGAACCAGAACTGGCTGACGGTGAACGGAGGCAAACTGAGCACGGTCTGCGGGGCGGTAGCCTCTGGGATGGCTCTTCACTTCAGCGGGGTGTGTGTTCAGCACAGGGGCCAACTCACTCCATTTGACAGCATAAATGGGACTGATTTTAAAAGTTAAATAAATAGCAAGGTGTTAAAAATATCAGCATAACATATTAAACATATAACTGTCCTGGTTTCAGCTGGGATAGAGTTAATTTTCTTCCTAGTAGCTGGCATAGTACTGTGGTTTGGATTTAGGATGAGCATAATGTTGATAACACAACTGATGTTTTAGTTGTGGCTAAGTATTGCTTACACTAGTCAAGGGCTTTTCAGCTCCCCAAGCTCTGCCAGGTACACAAGAAGCTGGGAGGGGGCACAGCCAGGACAGCTGACCCAAACTGGCCAAAGGGCTATTCCATACCATATGGCGTCATGCCCAGTATAGAAACTGGGGGGAGTTGGCCGGGGGGCAGCGATCGCTGCTTGGGGACTGGCTGGGTGTTGGTCAGCAGGTGGCGAGCAATTGCACTGTGCATCACTTGTTTTGCATATTCTTTTATCATTATTATTATTATTACTTTCTCTTCCTCTGCTGTCCTATGAAATGTCTTTATCTCAACCCATGGGTTTTACTTTTTTTCTCAATTCTCTCCCCCATCCCACTGGGGCAGGGGAGGGTGAGCGAGTGGCCGTGTGGTGCTTAGTTGCCAACTGGGGTTAAACCACAACAATAACATATAAAAAAACCTTACATCCTTTGCCTAGCTGAAGGTCAAAGTCAGACAGGTCCTATAGACTAGGGCCAGCCAGAAACACTCCAGGAAAGCAGATACTGTGTTCTGGGCTATGCTGTAGCCAGGAAAATGAGATATAGTGTGTGTGCCTCCTGAAAAGAGCCGTGAAGGGGCCTTTGGAGGCGGGGCTGATAGCTTAAAGCAGAGTCCAAATATGTAGGCATTCAATTCCACTCACTCATAGTAGCCTCCTCATAGCACTTATAACTTCCAGAGACCAGAGTTTGGTGTGGCTTCTAATCAGACCACAGAGGTAAATTAATAACGAGGTATTTGCATGTGTATAACCTGCACTTGGTCCTTGAAAATACATCCATGTGTAGCCTCATCCTTCACATATTTTATTGTTGTTTTTTTTCAGAGTAAGCTCAGGGTAAAATTTCCTGGTTTAGCTACACACGTAGGTATATAACCCAGACTGCTGCTGAATTTGCTTACAGATAAGCTCAGGATTATAAAAATAGTATTTTAGCAACATGCAAAACTTATGCTCATAGATCTCTTCCATGCAAATTTATAACTAGGTTCAAACTGATGCAAGTTTTCTAAATTAAACAGAAGCATTACATTTCCACTCCCTTACAGTAGGACTAAGCAGGCACCACTAACTAATAGACTAAGCAATGTGAAATATATAAGGGATTATGGGAAAACACACATATTAAAATTGCTGTGCCGTTTGATGGTTTGCATAAATTGAGCCATTAGCGCATAATCAGTGATTCATTAACTCTGCCTGGAAAACCTTGTGTTTTACACTGGAGGCATGGATTTTTGTAACTCTTGTATTCAGAAGAAAGGCAAATACAATTCTTGATACTTATCTTGTAAAGCTGTAGGTACAAGTAGCAACGGGTATGAATACACAACAGGAATTTTTAAGATGGAACATAACTGAAATTATGTCCTCAGGGAAGAATATTTATTGTTCTGTTGTAGCTTTACCTTTGTTATAATTATTATAATTTTTTACAATTTTGAAGGTTTTACAACATGAAGTTATATTAATAGTGACTGCACAGTCTAACACTTTTTATGTTCATAAGTTTTGCCAGCCAACACCAGCCAACATGTTTTTTTCATTGCTTTTAAGGGCTGCAGCCGTATGTTAGTTACAGTGGACTTGAACCTCACCAGTGCAGAATTCATCCAGTTTTATTTCATGTATGGATGTCTGATAACTCCTAATAACCGCAACCAAGGAGTGCTGCTGGAGTATTCTGTGAATGGCGGAATCACCTGGAGCCTCTTAATGGAAATTTTCTATGATCAATTCAGCAAGCCCGGGTTTGTAGATACCTTCTTCTGCCTATATAATTTTCTGTACTAAAGTAAGGTGGTCTTGAATGTTTCATAAGAACCTGTGGGACATATTACTGCTGTGGTTTGGATGTCAGATCTTTAAGAGTTCAGCCTGTCCAGTCCTGCAAGCATTTATAAATGGCCTTAGTGCATGTGCTGGAGCATCAGGATTTGTGCAGCTGCTAGGCGAGCAATATAAGGGTAGTAAGGAGTCTGTAGCAGTCTGGTAGATTTGTAAATGGTTGCAGGAAGATAAATTAATAGCTAGTGTAATGACGTCCATCCTGTTCTTTAAGATACTTTAATTTGCAATCTAGTTTCTTACTGACAAGAGCAGAAAGTCATTGCTTGAACTAGTTAGAAAATTGTGTGTAGAGGAGAAACTGAATTTCTGCAGATATCCATCAAAAGAATGGATACACTCAAGCCCTATTTTCAGATATTTGTGAGATTCAAATCATACATAGATATGGGTGGACCTCTTCCTCACTGACTGATCTAAAAGACTCAAAGAAAATGGGGCTGGGAGGGACCCATTATTTGTTATTTCATTTGAACACGCCAAGAAATGACTAGCACTTTAATTAGGCAAGAGATTTAAGTGTACTATCATCTACTGTTGTAATGGAAATAAGAAAATTGTACTGGAACATTCCTATCTGCTGAATGGCTCCAGGTTGAAAATAGTAATCTTAATTTTACTTCAACGTTCTCTTTCTTAACACTTCCCTTAATAAGTACCTTATGGTCATACAGTGCTAGTCTAGACCATTGCACTTGGTCCCATAAGCACAGTTGGAGCACGCGAGGTTGCTCAAACCATGCCACAGTCTGGCTGCTGGCCCTTCCCACCTCGCTCTGAGCCCCTGTCCCAGGGATGACATTGGGAGTGATCAGGAAGGCTTTTGTTTCAGCAGTCTCCTGTAGGGGAACATAGGCTAGATCACCCGGTCTTTTTCTTCTTTCCCAACTTCCACATACTCTAGAAAACAATGGGAATGGACCTGGTCAAAGCACCCAGCACAGAGCATTGAGAAGTGTCCTCCTCCTGCGGCTTTCCTACAACTAATTTCCACTTTTTATTTCAGTTTTGTGAACATCCTTCTTCCCTATGATGCCAAAACCATTGGGACACGCTTCCGCTGGTGGCAGCCTAAACACGATGGCCTGGACCAGAATGACTGGGCTATTGACAACGTGTTGATCTCCGGCTCAGCTGACCAGAGAACAGTGATGCTGGACACCTTCAGCAGCGCTCCCCTGCCGCAGCATGAGCGCTCCCCTGCTGACGCAGGGCCCACCGGGAGGATCGCCTTTGACATGTTCATGGAAGAAAAAACTACAGGTAAAGGTTTCACGCAGATCTGAATTAAAGAGCAAGAAGTCAGTGCAGAGATTTCCAAATCTTGCTGAGCCTCTGCATCTTTGTCTCACTGTGACGGATATCACAGGCAATCCCATCACTACAGGGGTCTTGTCTTTTGGTTTTAGTTCACAAAATGCAAAATGAAAAGATGTAATGTAACTTCTCTTTTTTACTGCATGAATTTACTTAGAAGATTAATTTCTTTTCAAAGAAGGAAAAAAGGATTAAAAAGTGCCAGGTTATTCTAAGCATATTTCTTAACCTGAGTATCTGTTTCCTATTTCCTAACTTTTTAAAACATTCTTTAGGGAAGTTAAGTTACATTTTACAACAAAACTTGGTAGAGGATGTATTTCTGGCTGTTTACAAGGCTTAACAGCTAACAGTGCTGGGGTACCCTTTGTGCAGACCTGTAGGCAACATCCATTAAAAAGTTCTCCCATAATGTCCACTGTGACAGAAGTTTATGTTTTGAGTAAGTCTCAGATCCTTACTTCTTGAACATGAAAAAATAATGCTATAATGCTTATGTAAGAGAGTAGTAAGAGGTGCTTTGAGTAATAAATGTGATAAATGTAATAAATATTTACATGGGAAAGATGGGGTACTGATGTTCTCAGGGGCAATACTAAATAATTCTCACGTAGGCTGAAAAATAAAGCCATGAATCACCTTTAGTGGTTAACACTGTTCCCTGTTTTCTTTAATTTATATTGTCATTGCATATTACTGGCATTGCCATTTCTTTTCAAGTGAATGAACACTGGTTATTCCATGATGATTGCTCAATTGAGAGGTTTTGTGATTCTCCTGATGGTGTCATGATCTGCGGGAGCCATGACGGCAGAGAGGTCTACGCAGTCACCCATGACCTGACTCCTACAGAAGGCTGGATTATGCAGTTCAAGGTAAAATCTCTGTCTGCAATATAATTATTCAAAACCACATTTTGCTCCAGGTCTAAGTAGATTTTTCAGGAGGTAGGAAGATATATAGGCTTACGCATGAGCCATTCCTTGCAGGGAAAAGTGTTATTATTAGGCCATCCTCATTTTTCCTGCCTACTTCGTGTTGGTCAGCTTTAATACCACAGGCTGTTCTCAGAGGTGATGCACTCTTCCAGCACAGCAGTTGTATGGACATCGTGTAATAAGGATATTACACATACATAAGGTGCCTATTTCGTTAGAGCTGCTTGGTGAGGGAAAAGCAGCTCCAAAGTAGTCCACACCACTCCTATGTTGTCATGCATTCACATCAAACCTGCACCCAAACTGCCCTTCATACACCCCTTTACCTAAATTAAATAAATAACCCAGCAACATATGGAAGCTGTAAGAGCCTTCTGCACATCTCTCCCATAAAGACAGTCTGCCTAACATAACCGAGCTGGGTGGCTGCCTCTATATTCAAATACTCAAATCTTAGGTTGTGTGGGACGGGAGAATAACTTTATTAGTTATGGGGTGCTGGGGTATAAGGCACAAGTGTCAAAACCTGGAAAACCAGAAATGTGAGCTAAGTAGAACAAAATGAAACTCAGAATGTTCTCAATCTTGGGAATATTGATGAGATCTGTGGATGACTGGTAGCATACAAGCACTGTTACTGCCATCATTTCAAGCAAAATTTGGCAGTCAGTTTTCAGGTTCAAATATTTTTTTTAAACTGTAAGCACCACCACAATTAATTCTAATGTACTTATGCTCTCTTCTTTATTAGGTTTCTGTTGGATGCAAAACCTCAGAAAAACTTGCACAAAATCAGGTCCACGTACAGTATTCCACTGACTTTGGTGTTAGCTGGAGTTACTTAGTACCTCAGTGTTTACCAGCCGATCCAAAATGTTCTGGGAGTGTTTCACAGCCATCTGTCTTCTTTCCCACAAAAGGATGGAAAAGAGTAACTTACTCACTGCCTGAAAACCTTGTGGGCAAGTAAGTGTGAATTCACTAATCATTTTTTCTTGGATTCAGTACCTTCTGAAAAACACAACAGGAAATACATCTGCCTGTTCATTTTCTTTCAAAGAAAGTGCAGACTAGCAGCATTCATGTTCACTACATATGCTGCATAATTTTATTTCCTATCAATCAAGATTGACCATGACTCTTGGTCTGAACAACTAGCAAAGTTATCCTTTTTTCTCCGCAGTCTGCTCCAGTACAGCATGTTCTGCTCTGTTCAGACAGCCGTGGTCAATTAGAGAGTAGATTTATGATGTTACTGAGTGGGAAAGTTACCCTTATTGTCTGCAGCAGTCCACACATATGCAAACCATTTGTCTTTTCCTGCAAAATTAAAATCTTTTATATTCATTGAGTAATCTGCTCAGAAAGTATAACCAAAATTGAAATTCACTTGCAAGAAGCCAGAATAGCTTTTTCCAGCTTGAGCAGTGTCTGGATCTGTCCATATATCGTAGGTAGTACCTGTGTGAAGAAGACAATATGGATATGTATAAAATCAATTTCAACAGATACTGCCAGGTATTACTTGTGGAAGCTTGGAGGATAGTACACTTATAAGTATATTGTGTTTCACCCACCCTTTTTCAATTGAGCAAAGTTGTTTTATACATATGTCTGTTTTTCTTCATTCCTTTATATCTAGTCCCGTGAGGTTTCGGTTCTACCAGAAATACTCAGATATGCAGTGGGCCATCGATAATTTCTATCTGGGCCCTGGTTGTCTGGAAAACTGTAGAGGTCATGGAGACTGCCTGAAAGAGCAATGCATCTGTGATCCCGGGTATTCGGGACCAAACTGCTATCTGACCCAAACACTGAAGGTAATTTTATTGCATGTTTTAAAGTGTGAATTTTGCCATGTATTTGGTTGAGAAAGAGAGACGGAGAGAGAAAGAGATCAATCCCACTGGAAATTTAGCTTTGATTCCTGTCAGCCTGAAGATACTCAAATCCATTTTCAGCCCTTTTATCATTTTTTAACAAAACTATCACTGCAGTATCCAAGAATGGGTTTGTTCCTTTGCAAATAACACTGTCCGATAAAGCTGTGACAAAGTTCATTGATCATCATCCTTAGATCATCATTATATGATCTATAACATCCTGGCACATATGATTATATTTGATTGAGACCTGTAGAAAGATTGTTTTTATCATGAAAGAGATTACTGAAGTGGGGAATACAAGAAAATGACATAAAATTAGATAAAATTAATTCACTTAGCTGTTATTAGTGTTACCCTATAACAAGGGAGTGAAATCTAGTTAGATATTGCTAATTTAAAAGTTAAAATATTTTAAAAACTTAACATATTTAGAAAAGAATACGTAAGGAACCCCAAATTAGTTTAAAATGCAGTGTTTATCATCTCATTTTTTTCTACATCAGGTAAGAACAGAATAGGTACATGCTCCACAGAAACAACGGGTTAAGCAGTATTCTGTCTAAAGAGTATATAACCAACTTTTCAGTTATCACATAATTTGAATTATTATAACCTTCTGCTTTTCATCTAGGATACTAATTACATGAACAAATATCATTACCTGTTTGCAATTTTTCATTAGTAATGTATTCTTCACATTAAGGACATGTGGGATAAAATACTAGCAATTTTAGGGGAGTTTTACTACTATCACCTTAACGCCAGGATTTCACTCATGGCATTGCTTTTACTGCATGCCTGGAGGTAAGTGGAAATCAGAGATACATTCTAGATGGTTTTCACTGCAAACATTTGTGCAGACAGTTGCATAAATGCATATTCACTACAACAACCCTAAAATTTCATTGCAGTACTGGTTTTGCTGGGGAAAAAATACAGAATAGCAATTTCTCCCATACGAGTGGTGTCACATAGCCTTAAATTACCACAGTTATGATTCAGACCCATTCATTTGCACATGCAAATTTTTTTGTGCTGGATTACCTTTCATGTATGTTAAAATCTAGCCCTAACATATTTTCACATTTAGCCAATTCAGTTCAAGAGGTTAAATGTTCAGCCAAAAGTGATTATGTTCAGTCACCCTGCAAAAAATTTTTACAGTGTTCATGAGCCCTTCAAACATGTTTAGGTCAGTTCCAGCTGTTGTCATCAGAAAGGTTTAATTATGATCATAATTACCTGTGGTTTACGTTAAATACCTTACTTACAGACCTTCCTGAAAGAGCGCTTTGACAATGAAGAAATTAAACCAGATTTATGGATGTCCTTGGAAGGTGGAAATACCTGTACTGAGTGCGGGATTCTCGCAGAAGACACAACTCTGTATTTTGGAGGTGCAACTGTGAGGCAGGCTGTCACTCAAGATCTGGACCTGCGAGGGGCAAAGTAGGTCATGTTTCCATGTCATTTGAATGGGGAACTCTGTTAAATGCTGACAAAGCAGCAGGTGACATAGCTTGTAGCTCAGGGAATTCCTAGGCCACCAGAAGGGAAGCAGCAGGTCCCCTTCCCAAAAAATGTCTTGAAGTCAGCAATACCTGTCCTGCAAAGAGGCGAGATACTGCAGTCTCCCGGGCATCGCTGTCTCCACCCTGGGGACACCAGCTGTGTCCCCCACTGAGTTCAGAACATAACCTCTGCTGGTTGCCCTCTCTTGGGTGCCCATACAAGACCCACTCCACTCACATGCTATAGAAAAGGATGACTTAACTGGAGAACAATGGAATTATGTCAGTTTAGATGACCTAAGGACATGTTGTAGAAGACAACTTCAGCATCATTTCCCTTAGCTGTATGGCTTTAATAAAGCCACACACTCTCACTTCTGTAATTCAGCAAGAACTCACTGAATCACACAGCCTTTCAGGAAGGAAGGTGCCTCGGGGAGTGTGCAGTCCAACCTCATGTTCAAAGCCAGGTCAACACTGAATTCAGACCAGGTTGCTCAAGGCTTTGACCCATTGAGTCTTCAAGACTCCAACCTCCAAGAACAGAGATCCCACAGTCTCTCTGGACAGCTTGTTCCACTGTTGAGTTACCCTCACAGTAATTTCCATCCCCCCAGCCCATTATATCCAGTCAGACCCTCCCTTGTTTCCATGTATGACTACTGCCTCCAAGTCCCAGCCATCTTCTCCAGGCTGAACCAGCCCTGGTCCCTCAGCCTCTCCTCGCAGGGCACGTGCTCCAGCCCCAACCACTTCAGTGGCCTCCGCTCATCTTGCCTCAGTTTAACTTCTTTTATGCCCTTTATTGCTGCAAGGGCACCTCATTAACTCACGTTTGGTACCACTGCAAGGGATTAGTCCCTCCCAGGGGCAGGACTTTGCTGAATTTCACGACATTCCCATGGGAATTACAAGGCAATGTTTTTGAAAACCTTTGTTCTACTTGTACATTGATGTTACTTGCTTAAAAATACTGGCATTTTGAACATTTTCAGCACATCTAACAGAAAACAAACATCTCAATTTGTGCAGATCTTTAAGAGATGCAAACTTACACATTTACTTTTAGATTTCTACAATACTGGGGGAGAATTGGGAGTGAAAACAACATGACAACATGCCATAGACCAACTTGCAGAAAGGAAGGCGTGCTGCTAGACTATTCCATTGATGGAGGCAAGTACATCTTGTAATTTCAGCTAAGCTACAGCCTTGTTCTGTATTCAAGAACCATGAATATCTGAGGAGTTGTCAGAGAGATCCAAAATAATAAGAGAATTTTTAATTGTAAAGTTATTTTTGTCCTTGTAAAGTTTTTTCCCCATCTAAAATTTCCATCTGTTGCTCAGGAGTTTTTCATAATCTTCCTGCCTGGTTTCTGTAATCAGTGGCATCCAGCCAATTTGATTCCTTTATACGATTACAAGATTACTCTTGCAATGAGTAACAGTTGCCAAATACCCTTAGAATTTGTCTATCAGATTATCATAGCTATTATTTTTTATTTCCTATTATCTTCCTTTAATTTTTTAGATGATTCTACCATGCACTTGGTTTTATTACTAAACCTGCATCTTTTGATTCTAGGGATATCCTGGACTTTGCTTCATGAGATGGATTACCAAAAATACATCTCAGTCAGGCATGACTACATCCTCCTCCCTGAACACGCTCTGACCAATACAACCCGCTTGCGCTGGTGGCAGCCTTTTACAATCAGCAACGGGATCGTGGTTTCAGGCCCTGACCGGGCGCAGTGGGCGCTGGATAACATCCTGATCGGAGGAGCAGAGATCAACCCCAGCCAGCTGGTAGATACGTTTGATGATGGTAAGACAGGCTGTGACAGCTAATCTGTAGTCTGGCATTATCTTACCTAAGATAAGCCCTGTGAGCTTGCAAGCACACTTTTTCTTTTTTTTAACTCAGCAAATTTTTCATTTCATAGACTAATGGTGTTTATATACTATTCTTCATGCTACTAATAAGGGTGTGTAAATATATATACACATGTATATTCAGATATGTATGTATATGTGTATATATATGTAATATATAACCTATAAGAATTATATATGTACTAATATAATATATGTAATATATAATATATAAGAAAGAAAAAAAATATATTTCAGTCC